CATAAGTTTGAATCTTTGGTTAGTGCAGCCTGAATCTTACCAGTCAAGTTTGAAATGTGGTCAAAATGCTTGGTGGCCTGCCAGTTTTCCTAGCTTGCTAGTTTTCTAGCCGGTCCCAGGTCCAGGTAAAAAGGGAGGGTTAGGCGTGGAGCTAGTAACCCTACACCACAAAATCTATCAAACTGCCAGAGAAACTTCAAAGCACAAAAAATATATTACAAATATAAAAAGTTCAAATAACAATCTTATACTTCTCTCGAATCGTAGAGGCGAAATGACACAGAGGGCTGCTGAAAGCCCACCTTCGGAGAAGCCAGTTAGCCAGCCGATGTGTCTTCCCTAGATAAAAGTAAGAAGAAGAATGGAGATGTGGGATGTCCGTACAATGTACGAGGCTGGTTGAGAAGGCTTCACAAGTAGCCAAAGAAATGGGAAGATATGGTGTTGGTGCTATATTTTGACTGAACTAGAATACACGTATATCTTAGTACTTCCTCGCGTTTATATTTGTGTCCTAACGTTGTGATTACTCGACATCCACAACGTAATTCAAAAGGCACTTGCGAAGGAATACGACAGTGTATTATTGCAGCAATCAAAATTCAAAAATCGAGCGAGTACAAAAAGTATCAATTGTTAACATGCATGATTTAGAGTAATACACAAATGAAAGTACAATTACACAATGAAAGTATAGTACGATGATGATTAATAAAATGGGTCACTACAATGGCATAGAAGTGCTAGGTATCTGTGAGAGCAGATAGAATGGATGTGGATTGACAACACTGTCAACTGGACAGTCAGTTATCTATTCCGATGTGGCTACCCAGAAGACAACGACGAACACACTGAGGCAGTGAGTGGATAATATGATGTCTCCCAGTGGCAGCCAGAGTCCTAACGCAGTGGGAACCAATTTCATCCTGCAGGATCGTGACAGCAAGATCCAAGTCAAAAGGAAGGGACGAAGGTTACAATCACTCAATGCTACTCACCTACACACAACGTGTATGTGTTGCTGATGTGCTATTTTCCACTCAAAACCCAAGAGAATAATAATCATGAGTTATGGTTATTAGCTTTCCACTTAGGTTTCGTATCGGTTGGCTCACATGAGTTAGCAAGGCGTATCTTTAATCTTTAAGAAAATCATGTCCCACTAGTTGGTTAACACTTGGCAGCTGTTATCTTATTTGTTGTCATTCGCTTAAAAAGTAACAATCAGCTAACTAACTGACTTATTATTATTTGTAGTGACCCGTTTTATTACTCATAATCGTACTATACTTTCATTGTGTAATTGTACTTTCATTTGTGTATTACTCTAAATCATGCATGTTAACAATTGATACTTTTTGTACTCGCTCGATTTTTGAATTGTTGATTGCTGCAACAATACACTATCGTATTCCTTCGCAAGTGCCTTTTGAATTACGTTGCGGATGTCGAGTAATCGCAACGTTAGGGCACAATCATAAACGCGAGGAAATACTAAGATATACGTGCATTCTAGTTCAGTCAAAATAGAGCCCGAACATATTAAATAAACTCTGACGTTTAATTAGATACCTGAGGCTGTCTATTTGTAGTTACAGCAACAAAAGACGTTAGAGGCATGACACTGTGTTCTCAGTAATAACCGCTATAATTATCCATTACAGTTTTATAAGGAGTTAATCGACAACCCGAAATCAGCACCTTGTTACACAGATTCGAATTTCAGACGAGATATTCGTGCCGTCAGTATCGCTGATATGCTTTGGTGACTCGTGAGTGCCAAGAAGCACGAAACTTTAGTTGTAATAATAATATTATTATTAATAGCTTTATTCTGAACAAGGTTTATATAATGTACACAATTTTCAGAGGAGTTTATTGTTCGTTATTTCCCCTTCCCAAGCTTACAATAATGCTGAATTAAATCTCAGTAATTCTGAAATAATTCTAGCATCCTATAGTGAGTAAATTCTGAATCTGTTCTCGAGTAGTTTGTTTAATGGCACAGACTAGAACTCAGTGCTGGTTTTCAGCATGACTAGAACTAATTCAGCACCGTGTTCTTTTTCTCGGCATTTTTAGGAGTAGATCAGAACATACTGGGTTTGCTTATCAGCGTTGTTCCAGCCCTTACAGGACATATTAAGCACTGACTAGCATTACTTCAGGACAACAAGACTTAATTCAGCTCTCAGCTCTCTTTTTAAGCACGACCAGCGTTATTTCAGAACATAGTGGGTAGATAAAGTCTTCATTTACCATAAAAAGGCATTATCGACGCATAGGTTAGAATAAGTTTAGAATTGTTGTAAGCTTGGGTTCATCCAGGATCTGCAAATAAAGCAGTATATATATACTGACAGTAGACCGTATTAGACAGAACCTTCATAATTGAAGCGCAAATCAATCCAACATTATGATAACTATTCCATGTCTCCATGTTTCTGGAATTCCAGAAATACACGACGACATTTTGTTGAATGCCAACTGTGAAGCGTTCAGAGATACAAGGAAACCATTCAGGAATAGTCATCTCATGTATTGAGATAAGCTGCCATCAAGAATATTCCTTCTACTCAAGCCTAGTAGAAACTCGTGGAACCACATGTTGTGAATGTTTTAAATACTCGACAGAGTAAGCAACACTATTAAGGTCATACTTTAATAGATTTAAACAAAAAGAATAAGGGAAATTGTATACAGCATATTGATGGAGGCTTTCTGTAGCGCGAGTTTTGAGAAAACCATCAATCGAGTCCAGCGTTTGCTTCAGACTGCATCTTATCATCTATACTCGGTTCAGCGTGCACTGCCACATATAAATCTTCACTGTCAGAAATTCGTCTCAACTAACTCAAGGATTAGGCGCGTGGAACTAGTTACTTTCCACCTAGTGTTCAATGGAAGTAGACTTGAATTCATTGATTTGCCCACATTTTTCCACTTACTAAAATCTACCGACTGTTTGAAAAAGCAATTTAGTTTCTCCAACTTGGTATTTACATAGTATATAAATAGTTTTACAAACACACTGAGGTATACTTTTCCCTATTTTATTATCTAAATCACAACGGTCTAGAATATGACTTCCGTTGTATTTCATGAAAGTTAAACTGAAAGCATTCGTTCAATATTTTCGATGGTTTATATTGATGTGAACTGTATCAAAGTCATCACCAGTGAATATATGCATCAGAATGTAGACTCAAAAAGTAGGCGCAATGAACTTTCATCATGTCATATCTAAAATATTCAGAGGCCTCACTGCTACACTGCAGTCGATTAAATAACGTTAACATATTTACCCGGTAATATACATGTAAAACTTGGGCACTGTGGTAGTAAGTGATTCCATATTAGTTTGTTTGTGAGGTGCATCTCACAGTGAAACAGTATTGCTATTTACTGGATGACGTTTCGAACATAAATTTATTACTGTTCACAATTATATCAACGAAATATAATCACACGACTTCGAAACTTGAGTTTTATAGTTTTCCTTATTCTTTCCTATTTGTCGTAGGGGTTGTACGACTTTCTAAGTGTCTAGTTTGGACAGGTGTTGAATCATTCCTATTACACGTGTTTGCACTTGATTCGATAAATGAAGCTTCTGTTATTAATCTCTCCCTCCACATTGCTGCTACATTAGATTTTAAATCTGTCATCTTATCCCATCCCATTCTGTTTCATGGTTATGTGCAATTGCATGTAGTGAGTGGTATAGCTGAACTATTCTCCAGATTCCTTATCTTTTTTGGTTTAGCTAATCTGGATTTTGCTAGGTTCTGGCACTCCGCTAGGCTGAATGCAATGATTATCAGGTCAAATACATAGGTCAAAGTAGTAGAACAGATGCATTCAGACTAGCCGAGCATAAAAACCTAACAAAATCTAGATTAGAATTAGATAATAAATCTGGAGAATAGTTCAGCTATATCACTGACTACATGCAATTGCACACAACCATGAAATAGAATGGGATGGGATGAGATGACAGTTCTAAAATCTGATGTAACAGGGTGGAGGGAGAGATTGATAATTGAAGCTTTTTTCATCGAATCAACTCCAAACACGTGTAATAGGAATGATTTTGCACCTGTGCAGCCGGACGTCTAAAAGGTCTACTAACCCTACGACGACAGATAGGAGAGAACAAAGAAAACTACAAAACCCAAGTTTCGAAGTTGTGTGATTATAATTGATTGGTATGATTATGAGCAATAAATTGTGTGAAATCATTGTCATCCAGTAAACAATATTTTCTCACTGTGTGATAAATCTAATGAACAAACTAATATGGTATTCACTTGTAGTCACAGTGGAGAATTGAAGTGGTGGTTCCTTGAAGTAAATGTTGGCGAACCTATTGTTAAACCAAAGGGGTCTCATGCCAAAATTAGCAACGAAATATATCATTGGCAAATTTCCTAATGTATACACTTTCAATGTCATTCAGATATCATGTGATTGCACTGTTCAAATATGTACTTCCCCGTTTTCATGTCAAAATCTTTAGAATGTGTTCAGGAACTCTTGAATAGGCCCTTCTATCTATTTTTTCAGTATATTGTCTGTGGTAGCTACAAGTAAATTGATATGTACAGCTGGAGCTAACAAAAGAAGGTTGTCTTTCGACTTTTAATTGGCTTGTCCAACTTGTTAATTGGTACAGAGAATCTTCTAACAAGTGAATTCTTCAGTCATCTGTTGGTCATCGCTGGAATGTCATCACCTTCAAAATAAATATAGGCGATGTGTTCACTGTAGCCCGCTTTATTCTAAAAAAAATCTAGCTATTCATCTTGTAGGAAGATCGTAGTTTTGTGGACATTTTTCCAGGATTTGCAGCTTCTCCAATAACTTGTCACTGGTAAATATTATTCTCGCCCCGGTGAAATAGTGTTCTGACTGATGTCGGTTTGTAATTAATCAGACGCATTTTTCTTGAATGTCCATACACTCTGAGTACCACAACTTCAGACAGATAAGCTCAGGTATTTACTAGGAAGCAAATTAGTATTTATTTATAAGTGAAAAAATTACTTAGTTATTACATTTTAGTAAATAACAATTATAGTTAAAACAGTGAGTAGTCATGTCAATTAAAGCATTCAACACTATAAATCGACGAAGATTCAAAGGTTTGAGTTTATCCGTCTAAAAAGGAAGGAAACAAAAACAGTGGGAAAACCAAAACAGACAGTCATAAAATGTATCTAAAAAACTGCTCCATGAACTGACTCTCTTATCCATCATGTTAATATACTTGGTTAAACAATCAGGAGTTTATAAAACCTGATTTGTTCGAATTTGTCAATGAATATGGTGAGTATTCACGACTCGGATGTCTTAGAGAGTAAATACAACAACCATCTGGTAGGTTGAATCAATAAATGGCTGCATTCTTACTTTCGTGATAGGAAATAATACCCAGTTTACAATGAAAAGTCCTTTACTGCTTCCCCTACTCCAGCCGGTGTTCCTTAGTGGTGCTGTTCTTTCGCCTTTTATGTTCTCTTACTTCTTATATAACTAGTCGCATTCTGATGAGGTAAATTTTATTAAGTGCGCCAATGATCCAACTGTTCCTACGCCGATTAAGTCTCAGTCAGATTGTTCTGAAATGAATAACGTTCCATCAGAGGTTAGTCAGTGACCCTTATCAGTTGGTCTTCAGGTAAATCTCTTCAGTGGTTGAGTTGTTAATTTCACTTTTAGACATAAGCATGGTTTAGAAGAGCTGGTCGACTGCCATGATTCTTGTGTCATAGAAGGCATTGAATTTGAAACTGGAGTGAATGTTAAATACCCTGGATTGTGTATTTCCTCACATCTTCCCAAGCCTTAACACAACATATTATTGACTAGAAAGATTGTTCATTTAACATTCTGCATGGAGAAGTCAAGACATTCAGGTGTCACTCAGTCTGGAATTTTACAATTTCTTAATTCTTGTATTCTACCTATTATTCCTTATTTCTTCCGTGTAATCTTTTCCACGCTCCTAATTAAATGACTTTATTGCATTGCGAAGTGAGTCAAAAGCTGTCAGCGAGTGAGTGGGCTGCCGGTAAACCAACTCGTTAATGCTTTTGTAGACAAACCGGGAATTGAACGTGTGGCCGAGCGTTTATGTGCAAACATGGACCCAGCTTAATAGGACATCAGAAAATAGAACAAAGGAGAGGTGTATTGGTGAAGTGGTATATTCCATTTGGAACTGAAGGGAACAATAATCATAATAACCAGGTCAAAGGGTAATAAATGATGTTGAAATTCGTCTTTGTTTTACTTCAACTCCTGTTATTAGACACCAACATTTTGTGTATTTCTTTTATCTTAACGACGAGAGGCCTTATTTCCGTCGTCATCCAGTAAATAATACTGTTTCACTGTGTGATATACCTAATAAACAAACTAATATAGAATTCCAGACTCTGCAACCTGCACTGTTGCCTCGCAACTGATCAAAGAGATAATATTGATTCTAAGTTTATGACTTGTCTCAAAATGTCCGAAGAGAATAACATTGTTTGTGTCTTTATCTTTATCATACTAATGCATTTTAGAGTAATATTTTAATAAATAACTTACGTCGATTCCCCTTGGTAACACCACCGAACACCTGAAATCCAATTTAAATTGTTTTTAATAGAATGTAGTATAAAATAGCCGACTTCAAGTTTAACACAGATCAGATTTATTTTTGCATCAAGCTGCATACTACTGATTATCTGAGCTGAGCCCTTGTATACTACTCATATCAAATAATAGTAGTCAGTGGCCAGCCAAATCGATGTAATCGGAACACCGGATCACCGTTTTGATTGTTTGCGGCCAGACTCATTATCCATGTACTCGGTTTAACTTAGTTTTAGAGAGGAGAATCGTTTGAAAGCACCGAATTCCTTGTGTTATATCGCTTTTATATAGGCCATAAACATGTTTTTAATTTCAGAGTAGTTCCCTCAAAATCACAGACTTAGTTCTCCTATTGTCAATACTGGAAAATGCTTTTTTATTAGTCTCGAGTTTTGTTAACATCCAACGAGTTCAAATTTTCTTCGTTTTAGTGATATTACATTCAAACATTTCTCCACCCACACATGGAATTCGGATGCAAGAAGTGAAACCTTCCGGAAATGCAGATAAACTTGCGTGCCGATATTATTATTGTTGTTTCCTTTAGTTCCTAGACGAACATTGGGCTTCAGAGCATGTCTCAATTGCTTTCGGTTCACTGCCAATGTTTCCATGTAGCTCTGCATCTGCCCATCCACTTTCATCTCCTCTTTACGTGACCTCCTTTATGTTATCCTCGCACTGACGACAAACTCGTCTTTTCCCATTCGAGTACCACTCAAGCCATGGGCTGTCTTGTGGTGTCACTTGATGGAATTTTTAGAGTATGGCCAATATATCTCGATTTCTTCCTGCTTATTTGTTGCACAGTCGGCTCCTGTTGGGTTGGTTCTCTCTGACAGGACCCTCACTATTGCTGATCTTTTCTCGTACGCCATCTGGTCTTGAGCAGTATTGAGCGAAGACAGCTGTTGATGAAGATGTGTAGTTTGTTCGAAGTGTTCTTCATAACGCGCTAAGTCTCTCCTCCATAAAGTAGCACTGACTTCACATTGGAGTTGAAAATCCAAACCTTATTTTCATTTTCATGCTGACTGGTGTTGATCTCCTCCACACAGACTTCACAGTAATGAAAGCTTGACTTGCTTGCTTTTATATCTTCGTCAGTTCCGTCCGCCTGTGGTTGAAACAATGCTTACCAGGTTGGTAGGTAGGTAAATGCGGTTGGTTCTTTCAGATTTCTCCCTCTCATGCTGATTGATATCTGTTGTTGCTACTGTTGCCATTTCTGTTGGCCAGGAATCTTCATCACCACATCTGTTTTCTCCATGTTTCCCTGGTATAACCCACAAATATAGTTCCTGCAGCAATATTCCCATGCAGTTGAAGATTTTTTACTATTATTTTGAGAAGACAGTAAGTAAAGCAACTTGTGTGATTTGTAAGCCGCAAAGCTCCCATTTTCACAATCTTTTCAGTTGCCTAATTGATCCTGAAACGTAGTTTGCCCACTGATAACTACTCAATATACATAAAACTCAGAATTTATGCATTATTTCTGTCACAAACTAGCATCACTTATTCTCAGAATTCTAGATTCTTCAGGCGATTGCTTTCTTAGAAGCAACCATAACGTAATTGCCCAGCTTTATTCTCTTGCACTGAAGCCATTGTATCTAGCAGTTAATAATACCCTGAAATACGAACATAAATGTAATGAATTTATACATTTTGCAATACATATTTATTTACAAATGCGACAAACAATTCCAAAGAAACTTGTTAATCTCTGTTTACTCAGTAGAGTCTGACTGATCTTCCATATTTCATGCATTTCAGTTAATTCATTGTTCTCAGACTGCCTCTGATTTCAGCTGGTCATATAACGCCTGTTTCTATTTAATTAAAACTTTTTCAAGTAATGATTGTGATTTATCTGGTTAAAATTAAACTATGATAAGAACATAAATGAAATATTTTCTCACATGGCATTAAACCAGCATTTTCTGAAATTTGTTAAGAGCATTCAACCAAAATTTATGTTTTAGTAATCAAATATACTATAATCAGCACACAATTTGTAAACAGCATTCTGTTATAGACTTGAGGTAAGAGGAATCAGATGAAAATAGTAATCGTCTTATGATTCATTATGTGACTCATCCTTTGATCAGATGACCATATAATTTCACTTTGATCAGGAACTACTGGGTAGTTGTTTTGTCCTCGTTCGGGACTCATCATCAGTGCTCACTCACCACCAGGGTTCGAACCATTAAGCCACTGGGATCCAATCTACTGGATGATGGATTTCAACTTTTGTCAGTTCACGACATAGTGTGACCATTAGCCAATGTCTTAGTTGGCAAGTATTTGTCCTCACACTCCACCTGCTGTACTCTACTGGTGATGACTTCCTGATAGAACCTCAGATAACCACCTACCTTAATAGGGCCTGAACAGCGCAGAAGTTAGAATTCATGGACTGGCCATCTGACCGGGTCATAGTGTCTTAGTGGTCTAGAAGCGCGCCTTGTAACCAGAAAGTCCTGTGTTCCAACCCCTGTGGGTATATACTACTGAAGAGTGACAACCTGAGCTGATGAAACAGCTGTCCAGTACTTCTTGGGAGGTTTTCAGATGGTTCTCTAAGCAAAGCCAGCTCATGACGAAATCCTGTAACCAATCAATCAAATCCCTACAAACCAATACTTAGATATTGTATCAATTAAAGACAGGTCTGCAACAAATTGGCAACAAATACTTTAACCATGATGTGAGAAGCTCTAATCCGATTTCAAAACACCAGTGAGTTTTATTAATTCTGAGATGGAAAGAATTTCTTTACTTTTCACGGAATGAGCAACATGATCTGAATTTGCATCACTGATACCAAATTACTGCTTGTATTTGATTCACAGACTTAATACGTGTGTCATTAAAATCATCTCCAACAGGTTGTGTACTTTCCGCAGCATCTACTACTTTCGCTCAATAATGAAGGCCAGATCGCGGCTAGAAAAAGCTCTGGAAACAAAGTAATCAACATGTTACCGCCCAACAAAACAGTGCGAAGACCGTTGAGCGACATGTCCCTAGCTGAAACTGATTGGAAAGTGTCGATTTAGGCTTCCTAGAATGATACGGTGGACCATGTGTAGTGAGCAAGTAAACAGCTCATGGGCAATGATGGATCCAGTCGTAAGCGTTAATAAAGAAGTTAATGTAATCGACATGTTATGAAAAAGGTTCTTTTTGGCGATTTTATTCTCAAAAGATTTTGAATCACAGTTTGCATGCATAAGTTAGCACATATATACTTTCTCTCTATTCCTTTACGTTTCCAGTGGAACATAGGCCTTCATGCTACAGCTTCGGAGTTTTGGTAGCAGTGGTGTTTATTCTTACGGGATGGGGTTGCTAGCCTCATGACCAACCTTTCCTCTTTACCGATCAAATTAAGGGCTTAGTGATGTAAAGGAGTGCATAGGCGGCGAATCGAACCCCGTAACATATGCGTGGTCGGTGTGCATTCTTCCTCTTTGTCACCGAATCTAGCATGTAAGCAGCCAATATTAAATGTGATATGGCACCGAAGGGTAGACTTCAAGCAGCAGTCGTTACGTTAAGTGCGCTCCAGAGTTTTCTGTTCAAAAGAAGCTAATTTCACCTCCTCATCTAAAATGGTCCTAGTCTTTTATGGCTTAGTTTTCCTAAACGTTTTTCAGTCCCACCATATTTGTGTTTTCATCTTCAGTAATAAAATAGCATTTAATCACTCTTCACGTCCATCCTTACCACATCCATCTTTGGCATAAAAACTGCATTTTACATTTTACTCAGTTATCGCCTTAATCCTTCATTGTTGTGGTTTCTGTGCTCCTTTCAATTTGTTTTCGTTAGATATTACACCGGTGAAATATGACATCAAGTTGAGCCAACTGACAAAAATGTACAGTGTAAAATGACCACTTACAGAACTCTCAAAAAACATGCCTAACACTATATACTACTTATTGACCAAATTAAGTAGTCGTATATTGCTAACATGAGTCAATGGTGCTCTGTAGCCAGCCAGATCCAAGTGGTCTATACATCGAACTCGGGTTTCGCCAGTTTTGAATTGAGCTCGTCACCAGTATAGCTGGTTTGGCTCGTGACAGACCGACAAATCAGATTATATTCTCGGATGAGCTGACAGTAAACATTCAACAAATGAACGTAAATAAATTTTCTGCCTTACTTTGTAGCCATGATTATGTCGCAAACGTCTCTTGAAGTAGAAATTTGACTCTCCACCTCTTTATTTCATTTTAGTATTTGGAGACGTCTAATGTTCATATCAACAGCTACGTGCATAAACGTATAACACATTGTGTTCAGGTATCAATAATAAAGTAACAGAAATCCAAAAAGTGTATGGTTGTATGGTGTTTTGATGAAAGTAAACGACTTACCACAATCTCTTCCACTTGAATCCGGTCGTTCCGCTGAAAATATTTGGAAACGCGTTAGAAACTCAACTTATCATGCGTCCACACTGAATAACAATAATAATAATAATTGTGACAGTTTTATTCTCAACAAGGTTAATATAATGTAGAGAATTTTCAGTAGAGTTTATTACAGTGATATTTTCTCTTTGTCCAGAATCTTCAGATAGAAGATTAATTGACAATAGGATAAGAAAAAGAATAACAAGGATATTTTCCAATGATACAATCGATGGGTAACTGGAGCGACTCAGACAAGTTCTCATAGAGAATGGATATCCCCCAAGAAACATCGATAGGAATATGAAGTTAAAGGAAAAGCTTGAAGGGACCCGGGCGGCGCCGAAGAAACAGCTGTTTATGAGCCTTAAATTTAAAGGTGAAACTGCAGCTGAGATCCTGAAAAATTACTTATGCGGATCACTGAGGAAAGCCTTCTTCACGAGTGAGCTACTCATCAGTTTCTACAGCCAACGAAAGACCAATGGATGTGTGAAGGATAAACTGCCAATTTGGAATGGCCACTTCAATGTGTGGAGGATTTCATCATGAGCTGACATCAGTTAGAGAACCACTGGAAAACCTGGGAGTACTGGACAGCTGTTTCGTCCTAGTTTGGGACTCTTCAGCAGTACGCACCCACCGGGATTCGAACCCAGGACCTTCTGGTTACAAGGCGAGCTCGTAGACCATTGAGCCACTGGGACCCGATCCAATGGTCCTTGAATTCTAACTTCTGCCAATTCACGACATAGCGCGACCATTTCACAATGTCTTCTTAGATGAGTTACTGTCACATCTTCAACCTGCTGTACCCTACTGGTCACGGCTTCCCACTAGAACCCCAGGTTAACTGCCTGAATAGGGCCAGTCACTAGTGAGCATCAGATTAATTTTCAAGTATTGGTTTGGTAGGGATTTTGTTTGATTGTATGGAGGATTTCATCATGAGCTGACATCAATGTGTATTTAAAAATTCACCTGTTCATGTGGAGCTAGTTATATTGGCCACACAAAGTTCACACTTTCCAAATGCATCTCTGAAAATTATCCGGCATGGTTAGCAGAAGGACAATGCAAGGCAATTACTAACTCAATTCTTGAACACTTGATGAACTCAGGCCACGCAGCTCTACCACAGTCGTCTTTCAAAATTATCTACAAGGTGAGGCCAAATTGTACAAATGGCGTCAGGTTTCAGCTTTTGTGTATGGTGCAGGCACTAGCAATTCATCAATACAACCCCGAAATCTGTATACAGAAAACGTTTGTCCAGTCTCTTATTCTACCATGGTCTTAACCTCTTCACTAGTCGTTGCCAATAAACAATTTTATTTTTAATTTTCAATTTTGCTTTCAGTTTACTTTCACTTTAATAATTAATTCACTATTATCAATCTCATATGTTCCTTTTGTTCATTTTCACACCGTCTTCACAAATGTTAAACTAACATTCAACTACCACCTTTATTCTCACTCAATAGCAGTTTTAACTTTATCAAATTTCTATCTTTGTGCCATTGAGTACCACGTAATTTACAACTTTCTGTTTTTTGCTTATAAAGTCACCTCTTATTACTCAAAAATGAACTATTATACGTGTTTTTGGTAAATGTAAATACGACTGTACAGCCTCTGATGATGATTTCGTCGAGAAAGAAAATTTTCTTCGCTGATGAATTTGTCTTTTATTTCTTCATGACAGCAGATTGTCCAACACAGTTTTGTTTGACCTAAAGTAGAAACCAACCCACCATTATGATATTTCTTCTGCCTCTACTTCAAGAAATACACGACGACATTTTGTTGAATACTAACTGTAAATCGTTCAGGGGTACATTTTGTGAACCAAAAACACTACTCAGGAATGATCATCTCGTGTGCTGCGATGGAGCATAATGCTTTCACTCATGTTTAATAGAAATTTACGAAACCGTAGGTTGTGAATGTTTTAAATACCCACCAGAGTAAACAGTAATATTTTACTAGATTTAAACAAAATGAATTAGAAATCTCTAAGCACTATATTCATGGAGGCTTTCTGTAGCGCAGGTTTTAAGCAGGTCACCCACTTTAAGTCTACTAATGTATTATTGATAAGATTATAAGAATTAAACTAAAATACTTCAAAAGTATGTTTAACATAAGTCATGATATTTGAGCATAATAACATCGGAGAGTTTCAAAATGCATATGTACATATAGTGACACTTACTGCAGCCGACCCTAGGTTGATCTGAAATTATTTGGAAAAGTGCATTCGTGTACATAAAGTATAACACAATAGTGAGAAATCTGCAGAACTATTTCTGGGTTGAAGGTTAAATGAACGAGATTACGATTAGGAATTAAAATGGATTCATAACAGAATAAACAGAAAGATGGGATCAAAAACATGGTAGGATCACAAGTATTCAAATAATCGACTTTCTGTGCAATTAGGAATTCAAAAAGTAGTAATAACAGAATAGACAGAAAGTTCAGATGAAATAAACAGACATTGTAATGACAATAAGGATTGGAAAGACGTAATGATTGCAGTAATAAAGAAGAAACTTGATAGGGTAATCACCATCGACAGAAAAGACTGTTTATGATTGCCATAGTAACGATAAAGGTTGGGCATATTTTTACTGAATACATTGCATAGGCATGAACGTTTGGATCACTAGGGCCTCAGCTATGCACAGATGTTTTGATCATATTCCCTTTCGAGAGATTTGATAAGGTCTTGTAAGGATGTTTGAAATGGAGCTGATTGTCCTGAGTTCACCGAATGTTTTATTAGCAAGCTATGTACGCACCTGTGTTCTTCGTTTACAAGCCAAGCTGGATAGTGTCACAGAGTTTGTTCTACAAGTTGACAAATGGTGAGGCTAATGAACTCAGCTCCACAGGAACAGGTGATCTAGTATGTACATATTGAAGTGGAACAGTGTGAAAAGGATTAGTGCTAAAGCATACCACAGTTGAAATGAATATCACTAGGATACAACTGTAAAGGAAGCTTTTCGAACACCATAGGCTACACATATACTAGCATGAAATCAAGAAGATGCACTTTTATACTTCAAAGCCTAATGCTTAAGTATGATTATTAAAGAATATACACTGCCTCAAAGTAGCAAGATTTCATTAATATTATTATTATTTCCTTTAATTCCTAGAGGAACAAAGGGCTTCAGCCACACGTCTCCATTGTGCGTTTGGTTCTCCGCCAACGTTTTCACCTGGCTCCACACGTCTGCCCACATGCTTTCATCTCCTGTACACATCACCTCCTCCATATCACACTCACACTGACAACCAGCTCACTGCTTCCCGTTCGTGTTCCACTCGAGCGATGGCGTGGTGTGTGACGTCATTTGATGGTTTCCTCAGAGTATGGCCAATACACCTGCATTTCTGCCTGCCTAATTGCACGATCAGCTCCTGATTGGTTTACTCTCAGAGATCCTTCACCATTGCTGATCTTTCCTGGCTGGCCATCTGATCTTGAGTAGTATTGAGCGAAGACAGCTGTTGATGAAATTCTGTAGTTCGTTCGAAGTGCTCTTTATGACGTGGCGCTGAGTCTCTGATCCGTATAGTAAGTGGCACTGACTTCACATTGGAGTTGAAAATCCGGATCTTATTTTCATTTTGATGCTGATTGGTGATGATCTCCTCCACACAGACTTGAGAGTAATGATAGCTTGCTTGCCTTGCTTTCCCGATCCTCGTTGCTTTGATATCCTCGACTTCATCATTGGAACTGATGAATTTACGTGTGTATGCTTTAAAATCACGATGAAACAAAGTGGTTCTTTAACTCTCCAGAAACACTTAAAATATTAAGATGACCATGAGACACAGTATTCTTAGTTAATTAGCTAAAGTATTGATCAGTTTAAATTGAAAGTGCTTTCATTTTTCCTTACGTGTTTTGGCACAGTAAAATAAACCTGAAAATAAATCAATAAATAAAAATAAGTATCTCGTTCATAGAATGAGGATGCTCTGCTTAAACGAATCCCTTAATGACGAGCTTAAGATTATTCACAGAATTACTTACGAAAAATAGTTACCGAGATGAGTTCATTTAGAAAAATGGCAGTTTAACACCAAAGCATGCCAGTAGGTCAATAGCTCCAAAAAATGTATCACTGTTCATAAAACTGCAATTCCTCGGTAATAACATCAACGAAATAGTAATACATCACCTAAAGAATACAGTTAACAGAACATTCAGTGTAGAAGAAGTTCGTCTGCAGAGGAACCAGCTCAAAGCTGACTTTTCAAAAAATATGTTGGAGAATCTGGAAATGGATCATGCAAACACTGGCGAGATTGTTGAATGACATCGCGCCCGGGAATCGATGAATTTCTCGTCAGTGTGAGGGTGACATGAAGGTGATCATGTGATGAAGAGATGAGTGATTATAAGGAATCATGGACTCAGGTGAAGAGGACAACAGAAAAAAGAAGCAAGTAGAGGTGTATTGTTGAAGATGTATGTTCCACACAGAATCGAAAGGAGTAATAAATAAATAATTAAACACAGAGGAGCACATTGATTGGTTCCGTGAGTTCAGACCAGAGTGATAAGGGTCTGGTAATTACAAGCCGTTATATTCATTTGTTTAGATTTCAGTAGCATCAAGCAGACCACATAGTTGATCGGGATATTTTAACTCACAAAGAAAATATCCACTGAGTCATGAAGGAAATAAAAGACAAATTCATCAGTGAAGAAAATTTTCTTTATCGACGAAATCATCTCCACAGGCTGCCATTCAGTCGTATTTATATTTACCAAAAATGCATACTGGTCTATTATTGAGTAATAGGGGGTGACACAAGTGATATAATTACTCAGAAGTGGCTTTAGAAGCGAAAATTATCAATTGTAAATTACGTGGTACTCAACGGCACAAAGATAGAAAATTTGGTAAGGTTAAAATTGCTATTGAGTAAGATTAAAGGTAGTTGAGTGCCAGTTTAACAAGTGTGAAGAGGGTGTGAAATGTAGAGAAGGAACATATGAAAGGGATGATAGTTGATTAATTATTAAAGTGAAAGTAAACCGAAAGCAAAATTGAAAATTAAAAATAAAATTGTTTACAGGGAACGACTAATGAAGTGGTTACGTCCAAGGTCGAATAAGAGACTGGACAAACGTTTTCCTTTATATAGAGTTCAGGGCTGTATTGACGAATTGCCAGCGCCTCCGCCATACTTAAAAGCCGAAACCTGACGCCCTTTTTGCCATTTGGCCCGACCTTGTAGATGATCTTGAAAGACGACTGTGGTGAAGCTACGTGGCCTGATGGCCTGGCGCTGGCAATTCGTCAATACAGCCCTGAACTCTATATAAAGAAAACGTTTGTCCAGTCTCTTATTCGACCTTGGACGTAACCACTTCATTAGTCGTTCCCTGTAAACAATTTTATTTTTGATTTTCAATTTTACTTTTAGTTTGCTTTTGCTTTAATAATTAATTCACTATTATCACTCTCATATGTTCCTTCTGTACATTTCCCACCCTCTTCACACTTGTTAAATTGACACTTAACTACTACCTTTATTCCTACTCAATAGCTATTTTAACCTCATCAAATTTGTATCTTTTTGCCGTTGAGTACCACGTAATTTACAATTTTTAATTTTACTTGTAGAGCCACTTCCGAGTATTTATATCAATTATATCACCTCCCCTTGTAATACTCAATAATAGACCACTATATATTTTTGTAAGTACAAATTTGACTATACAGCCTCTGAGGATGATTTCGTTGATAAAGAAAAGTTTCTTCGCTGATTTTGTCTTTTATTTACATCACAAAAAACACTCAGGTGAATTCTACCTCAATGACTGAAATAAAGCAAACTTTAGTTGTGTCGAAATATATTCGCAAGTATGTGAAAAACTATACGTTCCCCTTCACCACTTACACAAAAAGTAAAATTTCTTTCAATTTCAAGCATAGGAACCCGTGACCAGTAGGGTACAGCAGGTTGAAGATGAGGCAGTAACTCATCGAAGAAGACATTACGAAATGGTCGCGCTATGTCGTGAATTGGAAGAAGTTAGAATTAAAGGACCATTAGATCAGGTCCCAGTGGCTCAATGGTCTACGAGCTCGCCTTGTAACCAGAAGGTCCTGGGTCCGAGTCCCAGTGGGTCCGTACTGATGAGGAGTCCCAAACTAGGACGAAACATCTGTCCAGCATTCCCAGCTGATTTTCTAGTGGTTCTCTAACTGATATCAGCTCATGATGAAATCCTCCATGCAATCAAACAAAATCCCTACAAAACCAATACTTGAAAATTTATTGAAATTATCTTCGATTTCCAGGTGTATAGATAACGGGAAATTCATAAATGTGCATAGAAGAAGCAGAACCAAGAATCGTATAAAACGTTGTTGGTCTCAAGTATTAAATCGCTGGAAGTATTCACGGAGTTGACCTCAGGCTAAATAACTTATTGCATATAATTTTAATGGACCGTTGCACTATTTGCATAAATTTAAACCAACCAACCCTGTTGAAATCTCTTCTGGATTATAGATGCCCCAGTAACTTGAAACTATATACTTTCTCTAACAAGAGGACATACCTCATCAAAAATCGTTATTATATAACCAAAAAAACAGAGTAAATTTATCATGAATATAAAACGCATGTAGACTCACAACGAGGTAGAGATGCGGGTATATCTAAAGAAGTTTTCAAAAGTTTCAAAATTAACTGATGTTAGATTTTATTCATTGTATTCTTATGGTTGAATAAAATGTATTCAAAGTGTAATGTTTGTAGACTACAAACTATGGTCAAATAAAATACCTATGATATTATTAAATTTATGTTAGACATACGGTCACATGTTTAATTTTGATACCCAGCCTCTGTTACAATAAACCACAGAATGGCAGTCAAACCTGTACGTTAACTTCATCGACTTCGAAAAGGCCTTCACCAGACAGCGTTGACCGAGAAGCAATTTGGAAACTACTTCAACACTAAGGCGTACCTCAAGTCGTTGTCAACCTCATTCAACAGCTGGCTATATAACAGTGTCACGTGCCAGGTGATCCACAATGTGAAGCTCAGCGAAGCATTCTAAGTGCATACAGGAGTAAGACAAGACTACCCGCCTGTTATCAACGATGATATTCTAAATTTTGGTGGACTGCATTATGTGTTAGACTGTAGGGAGTGAGAAGACAGGAGTGCGCTGTACCACCAATGAAAAGACTCTAGAATATACGGATTTCGCATGTGGATGTCTAATTTCACATGCACTCGAAGACCTGCAAGCGAAAACCAACAAACTGTCAGAAGAGGCAGGCAGCGAAAACAGGACTCCCAGTGAACTCAGAGACGATGGAGATGATGAAGATAACCAACCGACAGCAGCAGCAAGAACAACCAGCACCAATCACCACCAAAGGCAGAGATTTAACAAAGGTTACTTCCTTCACTTGTCTCGGAAGCATCTTTTCAACTACAATTGAGACGGATGAAGATGCCGAAGTCAGAATCGGAAAGGCAAGATACGCCTTCATCAACCTAAAACCAATTTGGAAATTGGCTGCACTCAACATAAGGAACGCGATTCAGATTCTGTTCAACACATATGTCAAGTTGGTCCTTCCATGCGTGTCATAAACTTGACCAGTGTGTGACGAAAAGAATGTCGAACAGGTTGCAGACTTCCATCAACAGGTGACACTTTCGTTGCCTGGCTCCATACTGAAGATCAAATGGCCAGCCGGTCAGAAATCACATGTAACAAGAAACTGTGGGAACAAACCAACCAGGGGAGACCGTTGAATGACATCGCTCTTTATGCAGGCTTTCAGTTTTTGGGAACGAAACTTCCCTATAAAATGACATTCTATCTGATTATATAACTGACATCACTGTTACTATTTAAATAACCAGAGTACTGAGCTTACCATCAACGCAAACAATTTTACCTTGAAAGCAGAAATCAAATCCTTCATTAGGAATTTGTGTATTTTTACATGCAGATGAGTATTGTGAATTAATTCTGCCTTCAATAATTGTCTTTTATTTGAAATGGTTATTATTATTATTATTAATTATTGAGAATAATATTACTTATGAATTATTTCAGTAGCTTAATAATTCCCATTGTAGTATTAAGAACACAATATTCAGGGAAGAGACTCTTTTCAATAACGAATTTATTATCAAGGTGTACAATCGAATATACATATATGGCTTTTTATATTGAGAAATTATATCCGGTGAAGGAATTAGTTCAAAGGTGTGAATACATGAAATAATAATAGTATGAAATGCAACTAAAATATTTGTGATTATAATCATAGTTAAATGTCAGGTGGCAAAACAATTAATGTAATATTTACAATAATGCATAAGGTGTATAGATGTTGGAAAGGGGTTTATAGTTACAGGATCAGTTGGCCAATATAAAGCCCTACATAACACGGTGTGAAATTTGATAAGATAAAATTTAATATTTAAAAATATCGCTCTTTACAACTCACCATAGAAAAGTAATCTTAACTAAGTATTCCGTTTCTTGATGCGTGTCTTAGTAGACGTAATGATGGATCTCTTGAAAGATCTATTCACTGGAAACGTACATGGAACAGACAAGTAACTAATTTTCATAGTTGGGTGCCTATCTTCAGGAAAAGGAACCTAATTCATTCTTTTTGCTTTAGGATAAGAAACATTTGTAGTTCTGATTGCGTTGACTCGGAACTTGACTTCCTAAAAGTCACTCTCGCAGAATTCGGTTATTTGAGCCAAATTATTGACAGTAAAACGAAAGATAAGCAGTCTAAAATGGTCACCGACTCAGTTCCAAAGAAAACCTTATTCATGAACTTGGAATTCAAAGGTAATCAAGCTTCAGATATGCTTAAAAATCGTTTCTCTAAATCAGTCAGTAAAAAATGCTTTGGAAACAAGTGCAAATGACCTTCACAAGCCGCATATTGTTCTCCATCTCTGTAAAAGATAAGCTCCACCGTCTGGCTGCCTTCATGTGCATCTATCAGTTCACCTGCTATTGTGGAGCAAGGTATACTAGTCGTAGCCAGAGGACACTTTCCCCACGGATACGACAACATACTCTAGCATGGTTTTACAAGGGAGAAAGGAAGTGTGTGCGAAGCTCTAATTTAGAACACCTGATCGACCACTGTCACTATGCCAACCCTGACTACGATTTTAAGATCATCTACCGAATTCCTGCTAACTTGCCAGCTGCGTTTTCTTCGTTACAGACTTCTAAAGACAGTGGAGGCCTTTGTCATTCATGAATTTAAGCCAGACCTCTGTGTACAGAAGAAGTATGTACAATCCCTACTTCTGCCTTGGCCGTAGAGGGAAAGGCATTTATTTATTTTGTTTATTTAGTTATTCTATGTACTTTTCCCTTATTACTACGATTATTATTATTATTCTCACTCTAAATTCTTTCCGCTTTTCCCACTTGTCATTCTAAATCCAAAATTATTATTTTTTTTGTTTTACAATATTGAATTCTATCTTATCAGATTTCACACCACGTTATGTAACATTTTATATTCGCTTACTAATCCTCTAATTATGCAACCAATTCCAACATTTATACACCTTATGTAATATTGTACAAACCGACAGAAATTTCAATTCATCCAATGAGTCGTCAGACTCCGTCCCAGTTGCTAAAGAATGGTCAGCGTGGTTGCCTTGTAACATTGAAATCTTGTTTTGAATCCATCGTATTATCATGGGCGCGTACTGCTGAAGACCATGAGACATGGAAGAAACAGTGGTTCTCCAGCTGTAGTTATTTCATGACCAAAGTTCCAATCAACCAAATCCCTGATAAGTAACCCTTGTGAATAGGGAATAAACTAGCGGCTACAGTGAAGGCAAACTGGATTTAGGGTCCCTATGTTAAACATGATATACATTCACAAATGTTTGTATAACTGACATACAGATAAAGCGACTGCCAGCTGTAAATAAAATGGTAACGTTATACAAACTTTATTCATTAAGTTTTACCAAAATAGAAATGTATAATAATTAAGCAAATTAATGCGACAAACTGCCTACTCAATCTACATAAACCGTATAAAGAAAGTCCCAAGTGGTTATTTTTTTCTGTTAGAGTCTGGAAACAGACGAGACTCTTCAGCTGACAAATCCAAATAAGGACTCAATGCACATCGTGGATTTCACTGTCCATAAAATTATTTCGAGTTATTTGCTAAAACGTCGTCGAATCGTCCATTATAACAGTTGCTACGTCAAAAGACGCCAGAAATTTCAGATCAATCAAACTGGTAAGCATTGCACAATAGGTGGCTCTCATGGCCCAATCGGTCTACTCAGGAATTCAGGTGCATCCAGCTGATGAGTTCTCAACTGGATGAAATATGCATCTCAGATTCCACGATTAGTCGCCATCTACCTGAAAAACTACTCCGTGAAATGTTCAAAACTAGTTGTAAGTAGTTTATTGTAGATGGGAAGGGAAGTGAAATTTATCATTCAAAGTTTCTATTGGTGGAAAGGGAATATATAAATGATTCTTTCAAATCTCATAGCTGATTTCATATGACTTTTATTCACTTGGACTGGTAAATTCCAACTGACACCCCCTCCACAATTTAGCAGTTTGGATTACTTGAACAAACGCCACATGTTACCTTGATAGCTAACTTAAAGTCACTTGTCCGGTAGTGACTATTTTTCATATTAGATGGTTGGAGGCGATCGGCCATAGGAAGGTCAACCTGACCTAGGTTTCATGCTAGTAAGCACTTACCAGTCAGCCAACAAGGCCTGCCTGAAACAGTGAAGGAGCTCGTGTCTCTTCTGAGATTTTTGTAACCGCGTCACCTGGTGAGCGCTGCAGTCGTGGGCGACTTTACTGCCACTGAGACATTCGGGTTGGCTCGCGACTAACCTCCTGTATGACCGACTGTATTTGATACTTTTAATTGGACCCTAGTTAGTAACTAGTGTAATTTGTAAAGTCCTGGCTTTCGTGAAGACTGAACTTTATCAGTCACGTTCGCAGTGTGACCACCATGCCACTGGGTGGCTTGCCATCACAGAGCAAGGTAAATTGTTGATATTGGATGGTTAGAGGCGACCGTCAGCGAGCCTTCGTTATTTTAAGTTTATTCAATAGTTATTTCCACACAATGGTAAAATTTCGAACAGGTTTACTGCCATCAATAGAATCTAATATGGGTGTTTCTTAATGTTTCCTTCTATTCTGCAGGATTCCAGTAGATGATGCTTAGATATTTTTGAAACTATGGATTAGAGCACTATGGTACACCAGGATGTGAAGCCATCTAACTGATAAGTTTACGAGACAATGAAAGGTACGTCGTTGACCCATCATCTGCCAACCACCGTCAAGCGAATATCCCAAATTAATCAATAACTGATGAGGTTTTTGAACACATTTTTTACATTGATTTAGAAAACTGAAAATCTTGAGATATTGAAGATTTACTCACAAAAGTAATTTCATTCCCACTTTCCTGACATACAGTGTGTTGCCAGTCAATCTGTCAGTATAAATCTTCATGGCTTTCTATGACGGCGATCATGTTTTCTTTCTAACAACAAGGCCTGACAGATGGCGAATACATCACAGATAGTTGCGGGTGAACACATACATAGTTAGAAATGAAGATTTGAACTGTGAAAATACTGTTTATTTAGCCAGTGTTGAGCAACTTACTAATCACTTCACAGTCGACTTTGCCTGGAAATATTAGAGTTAATTGCAAGATAAATGTAGGAATACAATGAGGACACTATAGCACAGTATACTTGTATCAGTGATAGAAGAGTTTATCAATTCAAATTACTCGGCGATAAAATGATACGATGTCAAGCTTGGGATCGTAAAAGCAAGAGAAATCTGTATTACTAATTTAGACATTTCCTTAATAATAATTACAGAACACGATTTAAGCAAGCGAATACGTATTTGGGTAAATCCACATTTACATAATGATGAAAGATTAGTCATAGGCATTTGATTTTATGTGGTTAATTGAATACACTATCGTTTTTGATATGGTTGTGTTCTCTGAGCTGGATAGTTAATTTGCGAAGCTGTCATTGCTCTACTAGACAACAAACATCTTCAGCGCATACTTCAATTCGTTGAAGTGAGCTTTAAGATTTCACCACTACTTTGTTAGTCATCTCTCCTGGTGAGTGACTTTGAGCGTGATTGGTTGTTTTCGTGTGTTTTCACACCCTCTAGGCTACTTGTATTCGAGGTGATTGTTTCTTTGACTTTAACTTTGACCCTTTGTATGTGTGAGGTTTTCTTCTTATCAGTTGGTAAATTTCGTCCATGTCGATGTGTCTTTTGATTGATGATTCACTGGAATACCAGGCGTCTAAAAATTCTCTACCATTCTTTGTGTTTCCTCTGTCTAATATCTGAACGTTGACTGTCCCAGTCGACTTGATGTCCGTGGTTGTCTGTATGCAGTATAGCGATATGAGGGAGTGGATGTCATGTCTTTTGACTGCCAGCTTATGATCATGGATACGAAGATGAAGGGGACATCCACTCTGGCCAATGTAGTGTTTTTCTCAGTTGTTACAATTTATTTTGTGGATGATGTTGGTTTCATCTTCTTTCGTTTTTTTAAGTCTTTTGGTTGACATAGAATTGAGTGAAGTGACTTTGTTGGTTTGTGTGCAACCTCAATCCCTAAAGGTTTGAAGAGTCTTGCAGTGATTTCTGAGATGTTCTCTATATATGTTAGGGCGATTTTCTATGTGTTTTCCTTGGGGTTCTTCGATTTGATAGGTTTGCTTGGGGTATATATCTTTTAATGAAATTCCGTGGGTACCCGTCCTTTTAAAGACGTCCATGAGCTATCTTTCTCCGGTTTTCCTTAAGGCGAGAGTGCTGCGATGAGCCCTGGCTGACCCTCTTGAATAGTATATGTATACAACCCCTTTTGTGTATTATTGGATTTTTACTGTTTTAATTCAGTATTTGGTCTGTGTGAATTGATTTTCTATAAACTTGAGTTTATAATTTCCCTGTGGATGTCCACTTGACTAAGACGTCCAGAAATGGGATTTTGTTCTCGGATTCCTCTTCGCTTGTGAATTTGATGTCGTTGAAGACATTGTTTATTAAGTTGTGAGTTTTATCCAACTCGCTTCTTTTGATTTTTACAAATGTATCATCTAAGTAATGTATGTGAACTCATTGTTCAGTTTCAATACAAGTAATTTATAGGATGTGGAAACCAATCACGCTCAAAGTCACTCATTAGGAGAGATGACTAACAAACTCGTGGGGAAATCTTAAGGCTGACTTCTAATTGAATTATGCGCTGAAGATGTTGTCTAGTAGGGCGGCAATGAAAGCATCACAAATTAACTACCATCCAGATGAGGGAACATAACCAAATGAAAATCATCCACCTGAGCTACAAATCGTCTCCATCATATCTAGAATATACTATCAGGGCTTCAAGGTGTGAATGAATGGGTAAAATTCAGGATAATTCCTGAATGACTTTATGACACCTTTACTTAACCACGTTGAACAAGTTCTCCAGAAGGCAACGGTGGTCTTGCCGAGTCGTTCTACCTAATGTAACTGTCTTCACATAAACAGTTAAATTTATAAATGCACACTGAAGTGGCCAGACTCGGTAGCTTATCCTTCACCTGCGTTGGAATCATACAACCACTGGTGAATTTTAAACACAATTTTGTGGCAAAGAATGTTTAGCAATAATTTCGAAGTTCCGATGCCAGCAATTCAGTTGCTGTATCACCTTTTAAACGGTGAATTAATGTATTTGAGTTTCTTCTGCACTGCATTTCTTTCTATTTGTTCTCATCATCGAGACTTTAAGAAATGTTCCGGGGTATCCGTTCACGTACAAAATGTTTTCTATTTTCCTTATTTCCCCGTCTAGAGTGTCGGTTGTGCAGATTTTCCTACTGCGATACATCAAGATACTGATACGATTTCGTTTGTAAGCAGGAGAAACAATCAGAATGACTCGATTGGGAGCAAATGTTTTCAGCTGGATAGATGTTTATCACAATGTGACAGTGCTATGTGGCAATAGTTATTTTCCCCTGTACTCCTACCGGGGTGAGAGCTGTCTGCAAGACGAAATTGTCGACAACACTTGACGTCACTTTTTACATACCAAATCGGGATCATGAGAAAAAACAAGAACAAAGCCCAACCTTCCGGAACTCAACAACCAATCACAGCAGACCTAGCGTGGGCGGATACGATTCGCAGGTATATGGCTTAACTTCCTAAGAAACGGTTACAAGCAGTACAGAATAACCTTGAGGAAGGAAACAACCAGATATACATGATTACAGTTATGTTTGCAAAAATAATTATGTTTGTTTGTCGTATTCAGTATGTCGATTACTTCAGACATATTTCTAGTTGGCATATGTATCGAATTTGAAAAAAATTTGGGCATTACGTCTGTGATGTTCATTGTTATAAAAGTTTTTGAATTTCTCAATAAATGACCGAATCCCTAAGGATTCACAACCTGATTGTGCCTACACAATAAAATACTTGCCTGGAGTGTGATGCAATATACATTGGACAAACATTGGCAGGGGGAACTCAAGGTAATCAGAAGATATGAATACCATAGTGCCGCCTCTGTTCGACCACAGAGAAATCCAGTTGAACTAGAAAAGCTTGACAAATCACCAACCATTAGTTCACAATATTGATTATGACAATATTGAAATCATCAGACAGAAAAATTTCATGAATCCCAGAAAACGTCTAACATCAAAAATACTTCCTATCGAATGGATTCCAAATTGTCTGAAAAGGAATTATGGATTAAAACAGGATTTGACCTTGTTACAACGCCCCCCTTCCTCCAAGAAATGCCAAAATCAATACGAATGTGATAAATGCATGCTGCCTTTATCATTTTATGCTCCTATCAAATCCAACAATCTACACAACGATGATTACATGGTTAAGTATAAGCTGAGATTTCATAAATTCTAGTTAAATAATATTGATTTGATAAAGCTGTAAGCAGTATTCAATAGAGAAATGCCACTGAGGACAATGTCGTCTTATCTTTTCCATTCATTGAGACATACAGAAAGCCTTTTATAACAATGAGCATACGTATCGACTTTAAATTATATACGCTGTATAGGCAAACATAATTTACTTCTATGATTGTAAAACTGTACTATATCAAAATAAAAGTGCAAAATTTACGTACAATTCTCCACGGTTAGATTTTCACCTATAATAAAAGAGATAGCGAGGGAGAGAGATAAAGTGACATTTACGGTGTAAATGTATCTATTACATTGAGGCAGGCTTACCTCAAATACCATCAAATATCCTCATTCCCTTCGAAATAGTCACTGTGACTTTCTGAACTCATTAACAAGTTTATCAACAATAGTGATAATCTAGAAAGTCTCTGTCAAATTATCAATCCGTGGTTAACTCATAAAAACGAAAAAATCCTTACCAAACCAACTATAGAGAATTCAGCGTGTTACAACACTCTGGGATTAATTTAAATAATTTATAATGAAAGTTAAATGAACTCACCTTTACAATTTTGTTTACCTGTAAATATTATTCAAATTTGAATTTGAAATATTTCAAGAGAATAGAAAATTATCCTGTATAGCTGATGAAATATTCATATTATTGATGTAATTCTACTATTTCTGATGACTGAATTCTTCATTATCATTTTGATATTGTGCTACTGATAAGAATTATCAGTAGTATGTAAAGAGACGTTCATCAGCATGAAAAGGCAAATGATACAAAGTTGTGGAGATACATGGAAGACATGAAAGGAACATAAAGAAACACAATCTGAAGACCAAAACTACCAAAACACGTAGATCTATGCAAACGGTGCGTTGAAGATAAGGTACACATAATTTACGTATATAGAGATTATTTTTTTCATTTCTTCACGTTTCCATTGGAACATAGGGTGGCTTCAAGCTAGTGCTTGAAGTTTCTGTAGCAGTGCTTATTTTAACAGGATGGGGTTGCTAGCATCATGCTCAACCTTTCCTCTTCACCAGCATTATTTCTGGCTTAGCGAGGTAAAGGAATGCATCGGCCAGGGGATCAAACCCCTGACCATGTGCATGGTCGGCGAGCGTCCTAACCACTATGCCACTACCGATTACTAAATTCCTCTTCTATCGTTTCTACTCTTATATATGTATTTACAAAGTACTAGATAGGTGTTCATAAGTTTCTAAACTCCCAATTTATTCAGTACAGTTTAATACTGGCTTTTGAACTTACATGCTTGGTATTCTTTGTCATTTGTTGCTGTGATAGAAAAATGCACATATGTGCATAAGCTTGAGTTATCTATCGGTTTACTGAAGTTACATTTCTTCATTCTCAAAACAGTCATGTAAAAATGTATAATAAAGCGTATCAGTAGTACGAAAAATAAAACAAAATAATTCACTCTGTTAGTGAAGAACTAGTTCCCAGTGTATTTTCTCAGGATTACATTGACATACACTCATATGTACAAATAGCAACCTCGGTTAATTTACTAGTTCGCTCGTTTGCTAGCTGATCAGGTCAAAGAAGAAAGGTTTGGCGTGAACCTGATGACTCTACCCCAAGAAAAGTAATCCAATCGATACAGAAACCTCGAAGTACAACAAAAATATAAAACAAAAAACTCATTCTTCCCTGGAAGCGGAGAGAAATGGCGAAATGACACAGTGGACTGGTGAACGCCTTCGGTAAGCCAGTCAACCAATGTGTCTTCTTTAGATGAGGTCGAGAAAAAGTTTGGGGACGTGGAATTTCCGCATTATTCTTGAAGTTAGTAAGGCTGCTCAGGTCGCATAACATATGAGATATGACTTGGAAGTGCTAGTAATCAGTGACAGCTGGTGGTGGAATGGATTTGGACTATCCAATAACCAACTGGACAATCAGGAATCTACTGTGGTCACCCAGACGGCAACCACCAATATCATCCAAAACTCTCCTGTAGGATAATGACAGCAAGACTCAACTCAAAATCAAGGAAGGCTACAATTATCCAATTCTATGCACACTCAATTCGACATGGATTTCACCCTAAGGACACAATAGAAACCAGACAGAATTTATCTCAATCTTAAGGAAAGAGAGAAACAGTCTGCTAGATACGAAGTAGCAAATTCGAACAGATGTGGGCTGAAACCATTATCTAGTGCAAGGAACCTTCAAGATCAAGACGAAATTCTTCAGAGCAACTGTAGGCAGACGACAATTCAAGTCCACTGCACGGAAATGGAGAGAAAAAACCACAAAATACACCTTCACTGAAGCTATCACAGTGAAGTTGGTGACACTAAGTAGTATCAATGAGGAAATCAACGTGGGAGAACATTAGAACTCACTGAAGTTGAGTGTCAAGGAAACGTGTTTAGAAGCCATAGGTACTGGGGACCTCAGAACACCAGATAAGATAACCAGGTGACCATCAGGAAAGAGATAAACACATATGAGAGCAATGGAAGGTGGAGAAGGACATTTCATTACCAAAGAAGAGAAGGAAAGCCAAATTTGAGGTAATCAATCTAAAGAACTCTTGAATCGACCATCAAATGCGACTCATCCAAAAAGCCGCTGAAAAAATCAGCCATAGGACTCCCAGTAGACACCGGTCCATCAACAAAAGCAGACGTCCTAAGTGCAATCAAACCACTGAAAATCAGCCGGGAATGAGGAAGGATGGAAAGAAATTACTCCGAAAGCAGGTGATAACAGCCCATGGACAACCTTGCGTTCAGCAGGAGATGATGGCAGAGAACGGGACAAAATGCAGATGCACTTTTGAAGAGATATGTCTCACTTGGAACTCGAAGAAATAATGATAATAGGTAGTGCTCTATCGTATCGTCTTTAGCAAGAAAATTCACTACGGTTTGATCTAAGATTAAGATGTGAGCTTTCAAAAATTTGACAGTACACTGTTATTTTCTACGTAGATATGTCATGTTGATTTTCATACTTACCATTCCTTGCGCATCCCAGTGTACCTAAATTAAAGGTAAATCATTTTCCAGCATATTGATAACATGTACAGCATACTAAACAGACTAAGCATTCAGTAAAACAAAATGAATCTTCAAATACTCCCTGACTTTTTATTTCTAATCTGATGAAATACTGACATTCAACAAAAAGGTGAGAATAAATCAAATTATCTCCGAAGAAACAAATCAAAAAGTGTGTGTGTGCAAAATAAACTGGGTGTCAATGATTGTGAACATTGAACGTTTGTTCATTGGCCTTGGTTGCCATTGGCGGGCAACTTGAAGGCGCGAGTGATTCGATTGTGTACAAGTTGGAAGAAGACGAAAGAATGCGAATAAAAGTAAAATACATTCCTTGTAAAACATTTGTTTATAGACTTTGTTCAGAGTACTGATTTTAACTGCCGAAGAATACAATTTCTTGTCATTCCTTGTGTTTTGGAGTTAAATTCGATATGGTACATAGTATAATTGTCGATTCGAGTGTCTTCGGAAATAACAGGAACTTAGGGTTAAGTTCCTTGACAATTCTTATTCTTCTGTTCGATCTCATCTTGCGCCTTCTGGAACTCTTTACTTACTTGGTCTGCCGCCAGCATCTGTGGACACGGATTATCGCAACGTAATTTGGATCTTTTGGTGACGTTGGATAATGCCTGGGCCAAAGAAGGGACGTGGCACTTTAGAAGCAGACAGAAAAGTAAGTGATGTTGAGTTGCCTGTTACTTGTGATGATGTGTCTGATGCTCAGCATGATAAGTATTATGTTCATGTATCGCCATCTAGTGATAGTAGGGGTTTCAAGTTATCGAAGTTCGAGCTACGGTACTTTGATGAAAACCTAGCAGATTATCCAGAATTTGTCAGAGAGTTTGAAGTCATGTTGAGTGGTTTTGTATTAACGATTACCAGAAGTTGATGTATTTGTTGAGATATTGCGCTGGTATTGCTGCAAGAGCTATACAGTGCTGCAAGTTTTTACCCCCAAAGGAAGGGTACACTGAGGTCATGAGGTTATTACGTTAAAAGTTTCGGAGGCCACTTTTGATATCCAGGAGTGTTTTTGAGACCGTTAAGGGTTATGGTGTGCTGTTAAACGACGACTCCAAGGAACTCGTCTAGTTTTTGGATAGTTTATTGGTTTATCGGAATACCCTCGTTTCTCTCAATTGTATGGATGAATTGAACTCCAGTTCTGTTCTTCAGTCAATCGCTAAGAGATTACCAGTTCGCTTACAAAGAAAGTTCATAAAAATCAGCTGCAGTATAGAAGAGGATGGTTTAGAGCCAAAGTTTGATGATATTTTGAGACTGGTGAGACTGGTGTCAACCAAGCTATAAGCAAGCTTGCCAGTGTATTGCATCCCACCCCTGTAATAGAGAAATCATAGAGCAAAATGCAATCATTTATAACGAAGGGGTCTAAGAGTAGTGAAAATCGAGGAAGCTGTATGGTGTCTAGTAATCCTTACAAACTTAATGAGTGTGACAGCTTTCATGGGACGTCCTCAACAGATAGTTTATAAGTTGCGAGACAAAAACGGTTGTGTTTTATCCGTTTGAAAGAAGTGCATACAGAAGCGAGCCGTAAAGCAGTGAGCAAGTTTTGTGGTAAGCTAAATGTGAAGTTGGCGTCATCAAGTTTCGACTCTGATTCGTGTGGTGATGATGGTGCGGTGAAGAAGCATGTAGCTGCAACTAGTAAGCCATTGTTGAATAGCGTGTTACAGACGACACCACACTTTGTGCATAAGAAGAGGGTTACAGTTTCAGAGTCCAGTTCTGACTCCACAAGTTTGCAAGGTATTACTAGTCAGAGTAAAGGTATGAAGCCTTTAAGGATTCATGAGGAAGAACCTAAGTCATCTACTACTGTTATTAATGCGTTTGAAAATGATGAAGTCGATCATGCAATTGGTGGTAAAGTGGATATTCGTGACAATAATCATGATAATGCACATTTGTCTTTGGCTGATCATGATGAGACAAGCGGAATACCTTTTACTACTGAGTTGAAAAAAGGTTTTGTACAACTTGAACGTGAAGTATAATTAAAGGCAGATGCGGTTGCAGAAAGTATGGATACTCATGAGACCGTCTCTATAAATGATCCACGTATAGTCCATTTATCGACAGATGTTAATGATAAACTGGAGCTAATCATAAAAGGTACCATTGATGGTAATCCTGCGGTTAGACAAGTTTCTAAAGGTCGAACAACAACAGCTTCTGATACACCGCTAAGTTCACCAACTTGTATCAGTCAGTCGTCGTTGGTTTTATCATCCACAGTGAAAGGGCTGTCCTTGAACCCATGTGTCTTATGCTGTGATTATGCTAGTATCGGTCCGTTTGAAGGGACGAAAGTCAATGGCCAGTTTAGTGATGATAAGCCAACTTTGTATGAGAGGGTAATTGTTAAACTGACTTGCACGAATAAAGGCCTTTCAAGTTTCAAGTTACTATTTGAATGTTATTAAAAATTTGGTGTAAATTACTCTGTGCCTTCGCTTGGTTGGTCAGATACGTTGTATGTTTCTTAGTCACCTACATTCCAAGATGCAATGTCATTGGTGTGTAAGCATTCAGATTCGAGGATACAGATGATAGAAGGAGGTCAGCAAATGAACTCTGCGACAATTTTCTAAACTATGGTGTCAACCTGAGAAGGGTTGTAGGCGTACAGCAGTAAGTCCTACAATTCTTCAAGGGTAGTACGTCGAAGCGCAGTCCATCGTACTTGGTGTGTTATTTTGTACATTTGTTCATGTTGTATATATTGATTTAGCATCATCTTTCATTTGTCTGTTGGTTAATTTTGTTTGTGTTCGGACTTATTTCCACATGGATCGTCAACCTGAGAAGAAATGTAGGTGTACTGCTGTAAGTCCTACAGTTCTTCAAGGGTAGCTCGTCAAGGCAGTATCCACAACATTTGATGTATTGATTGCACATATATTTCTGTTACAGTTACAAATTTGAGAGGAAAGGGAAGTACTGCGTGAGAGTAGCAGCCCCACTTGGGTAAAATAAAATCAACGTTATGGAGATTTCAAAAGCTTGAACCCTCATGTTCCACTCAGAACTTGAGGAATGAAACACAAACAACTTGATTTAGAACTGACTCACTTGTCAACGTGATTCTTATTAAAGTTTATGATTTATCCCAGGAACACACAAAATAATGCCTCAAATTTAGTCTAAATAATCATTTCATATGAGTCTCTCTGACGGCAAAACACTTTTAAGTAAAAAACACACTTAATTAACAAAATTTTCATTATAGCCATAATAATTAGACACTTACAGTAGAATTTTTGTGTACCGGTTTCTGAACAAGAGAGTGAAAATAGGGAATCATTTTGCACATTGTAGCATGTGCTACTGATAAGACTTATCAGTAGTATATATAAAGCGACGCTCATTGGCACACAAAAATATAAAATAGTGGAGAAATAGAATTGAAATCGAAGACAGAAAATGAACCAGCGTTGCAGCAAGAAAAGGAAGATGCGAAAAGAAGAAAAAGAAAGATAATATGAATGGGAGAAGTGATCGACACCACGGAAGATCTGTACAGCGAAATGGTAATTTTTAGAAAAGGTGTACATAATTTCGCAATATAGAGATACCAAATTCCAAAAAACATTCTGTTACCAAATCTCTTGTCTTCTAAACTTACAACACTACTCAAATTTTCGTTTATTGATGATATCAGGACAGAAATGTTCGATATCCTGTTAGTCCTCAGATAGACATTGCCGAAAGGAAGACTACTAGTAGAAGCCGACATGTCAACAACGGTGAGACATTTCACTTCAATATGATCAGTTATCGAGAAATAATAAAACTACCTTTCAAACAAATAATAGATGTTATTTTCTCTATATCAAAGTTGTGTGTCACAAAAATAATGAATGCTTTGCTTATGAATGAACTCGTTGAAAAGAATGTGACTTTACTCAACCTGTGAGTACTCTGTTCTTCACACCCACAGTTTTTATTTTATCTCATCTTATCTTAAAGAGAAAGTTAGTATGTAATCCACAGTAAAACGTCAAGATTGGTTTCCTGCATCTGAAAAACAATTAGCCGGTTTTTGGTCACCACAATAGACAGGAGTGGACATGGCATCTGGATGTGCTTATATCCCTGTTGAGTGACAGTGTTTACACTGAGACCCCAACGAAGCAATTATTGCTTCCAAAGGCGAAAGGTTATCCACTAGTCTACCAAATCATTTCATGGCGCAGTGTCATCAGACACTGTGAAAACGTCTGTAGCAGGAGCTGACATCTCAATAGAGATCGAGTAGTTCAATTCAACAAAACTGATCAATGGGGGAATACGGCATAACTTGGATAAATAGTAGCCTGAGGATATCAAGAAAATGAACGATGATGAGCCAATCAAGAAGCTATTGGTCAACAAAATAATAATAAGGAAATGAGGATGGATCGGACATCCTGGATGACACTGCACTCAAAGTCGACTCTGGAGTGGAAGCTTAATGTGAAGCGATGGGCAAAGTGTAAGGCCATATGTGATATTGAATGTATCATGCATGGAGGAGATGAGAGACATTTTGGGAACCGTGGATCCACCTGAAGTCAACTGCAGAGAACAGGGAAGGATGGAGATATGCTGTTTGTTCCACTGGAATCATGAGGAAATTTTAATCATACCCACTATTTGTGCTACTGGTCAACATTCAGATGTTCTGTGGAACAAGATTATCAGGATCTTTATAGAAAAGACCATTTAAGTTTTGATAAATTTAACATTTAATACACTACTATAAAATACATTTTATTTGATTTCAGTAGTACTCTTAGTAGTGACTGAATAATGTCGACAGGATTTCAGTTCTAAAGTGAGTTCTTGTGGTCGAAATCAGTTCATTTGATTACTTCAGATTCGATCAAATAATCTGTTTCTTTATTTCTATTTACTAACCTGCTGAACACAGCCTACTACCTAAATTGAAAATACCAGAATACAAAAATGAGAATAAGAATTTCAGGATGTTACTAATAATAATAACATTAAGCAAATCAACAGTCAACTAGGTGACAGGAATAAAGATTAACCCGGAATAAATGTCATCGCATTTTATTACTAAGATCATTTTTATCCGTCTAAAACTCTGGAATGTATATTCACAGCCTGAAATAGTATATTTGTAGAAACTGTAAAAAGTTTGCCTAGTCAACGAGTTTGCTAGTTTCTAGTGGGTGCCAAATATTCATCAACCTTATTCAACAGCTGTACGACAACGGCACATGTCAAGTGATCCACAACGGAAAACTCAGCAGTCAGACAAGGGTGCCTATTATCACCAATGATATTCCTAATTGTGGTGGACTGGATTATGCGTCGTCAGGCAGTGGGAAACGAGAAGATAGGGATATCGTGGACCGACGTGAACAACCTAGAAGACCTGGATCTCGCGGATGATTTATGTTTGATGTCACACAAAATCGAAGGCTTACAAGCAAAAACCGACAAACTGGTCGAAGAAGCAGCAAAGACAGGACTCCAGGTGAACATAGACAAGACAGAGGTTATGAAAATAACCAACCGACAACCGCAGCAGCAGTAGCAACATCCAGTGCCAATCACCATCAACGGGAGGGATTCGAAAGAGGTCACCTCATTCGCGTATCTAGAGAGCATTGTCTCAACTACTGGAGGAACGGATGAGGATGTCAAATCGAGAATCGGGAAGGCGAGAAGCACATTCATCAACCTGAAACCAATCTGGAAATCTTCGTCACTCACCATCAACAACAAAATTCGGATTTTCAATACGAACGTCGAGTCAGTTCTTCTATACGGATCAGAAACTTGGTGGGTCACAAAGAACGTTTCCAACAGGTTGCAGACCATTATCAACAACTGTCTTCGTTCTATACTGAAGATCAGATGGCCGGAAAGAATCACCAACAAGAAACTATGGGAACAAACAAAACAAGAACCAATCGCCCAACAAATATGCAGGAGAAAGTGGAGATGGACTGGACGCTTGCTGAGGAGGCCGCTGGGTGACATCGTGCGTCAGGCCAACACTCGAGTGGAACCTGGAAGGGAAGCAGCGAGTTGGACGTTCAAGGGTGACATGGAGGAGATCGTGTGAAGAGGAGTTGCAACAGTATGGACTAACATGGATGCAAATGAAACGTACAGCAGAAGACAGATGCAAGTGGAGACGTGCAGTTGAAGCCCTATGTTCTACTAGGAACCCAAAGGAACAATAACAATAATAATAGTGGTTGCCAAGCCAGGCTAAGGACGGAAGGTTGGGCATAAGGTTAGCAACCCTACATCACTAAACTTATCAAATCACTAGAGAAACCTAAACGCACAGAAGATACATTAATAATACAAAAACTTCAAATAAAAATCCTATTCTTTGCTTGAATCGGAAAGGAGAAATAAAACAACGGGTTGGTGAAAGCCTTCGGGAAGTCGATGTGTTTTCTCGCGATGAAAGCGGAAATAAGAATAGGGACGTGGAATGTTCCTACAATGTACGAGACTGGGAAGGCTGCCCAGGTAATCAAAGAAATGCGAAGATAAGGTATATAAGCGCTGGATATCTGCGACAGCAGATGGAATGGGTGGGGACTATCAAAATTGTCTACTATAGAGTCAGTAAGCCACCCCGGTCTGGTCACCCGGACAGTCGCCGTGGTGGCGAGTGGCTATCATTATTCCACCAGTGGCAGCCGAAGCCCTAGGGCAGTGGGAACCAATTTCATCCTGCAGGATCATGACAGCAAGATTCAACTCCAAAGGAAAGAAGGTCACAATTATCCAGTGTTACACACAATGTTACAAACAACACGGAACCAGTGGGGAAGAAGGGAGACTTTTACAGACAACTACTAACAGTAATGGACGACATCTCAAATAGTAACATCAAAATCCTCATGAGATATAAGTGTCAAACTAGTAACATATAATACAGGAAGAGAACTCGTGATGGGTCGAGAGGCTCTCACTTGAGGAAATGCACGAGAATAGAGAATTAATCGCAGACTTCTGCGCTTTCAATGATTTGGTGATTGGAGGCAGCGTGTACAAACACAAGGGTATACACAATGCAACATGGATTTCACGGGACGAACATACCACATACCAAAAAGATTTCATCGCAATGCTGCTCGAGGAAGTGGAGACACAGCCTGCTGGATACAAAGTACAGAGGGAGAGTAGAGGTGGGCTCAGACGATTACGTGATGCAAGGAACTTTCAAGGTGAAGCTGAACTAACTTTGTACTATTTTTCAGTTGGCTGTAGATGTTAGTAGGCCCCCAATTCTGTGTATTTATAAGTTTTCGTCAAATATAGCACAACTCTTTGAATACATCCATTCATGGCAGTTAAACATTATTGATGCATTCATTCAAAGAACCGGTGAAATGTTTTAACTGACTCAATAGAATCAACAAAAATTAAATGTGCAAGCAAACTCTAATGCTTCCCAGTAACTGACTACAGGTCGAAGTTGTTTTTGAAGTTCTAGTGAGAATTCATAATCAGTGGGTTCCACCTGGATGAACCTGAGGATGAATATTCACCACCAGTGACATTCGCTGGTGCCAGTCGAGCTAAAATCATCAACTGGTGAAAGTTGATTGGGTCTCAGTGGCTAAATGGTCTACAAGCCTGCTTTGCCACGGCAGTGTCCTACGTTTAAACCCTGGAGGGTGTGCATTGTTGAGGAATGTGAAACTACGATGAAGCAGCTGTCAAGTACTCCACGATAGTTCTCTGCTATTCTCCAGTTTGAAAGAAATCACATCCGTGCAAATTAAATCTTGAGTAGCTATAAACACATATCAGTCCATTGATTTACTGTTGCGTCACAAAACTGGGCCAATTATTGTTTTAAATAAAACATTAACTCACAATCCTTTTTAGCCCTATCGTCTGCAATAAAATTGAATAAGTGGTTGTTGTAATAGTATGATACCAGCCTTTGAATGAAATTTCTGAATAATTAATACAGAATAATTAATAAATAAAACTTGAATTAACTCATGGTTACCAAAAGTGGATATCATTTATTAAAACTGTTCTAAAAGGAAGAACTTATATCTTCCTTCCTTACAGGTCTACTTTTTTTCTATTCCTTCACGTTCCCAGTGAAACATAGGGCCTCAAGCTAATGGCTTCAAGTTTCAGTAGCAGTGGTGTTTATTTTTACAGGATGAGGTTGCTAGCCTCATGTCCATCCTACCGTCTTTACCAGTCTTATCACTGGCTTAGCGAGGTAAAGGAGTGCTTTGGTGGCCTAGGATAGAACCCCGAAGCAAATGCGTGGTTGACGAGCATTTAACCGCTGTGTCACTGATGCACATTACAGGTCTATGCATGCTGATATTTATCTGTGGTTTAACACACACGTACACACCCTCTATCTCTCCAGTCAACTTCCGTTAAATATGTATGAAACTATATTATAGATTGTATTTTGTCAATATATTGATTCGTCCGTTTAACAAAAAGGATTTCCTGAGACCTATCCTGGTATTATCACATCATGTTAATGGCCAGAAAGATATTTCGTCTAACATTCTACATAAGGAAATTAAAATAATCTGGTATCACTTAGTCTCTGTTTTCCTGTACTCCTGAAGAAAGGCTTTGATACACCGCATAGGGCTCTAAAAGCTGTCGATGAAATGACCCTCCTATCAGTTATTTTAATATACTTGGTTAAACAATCAAGAGTTTAGAAAAACTAATTTATTCAAATAAATGATATAAGTATAAAACTTGGGCACTGTGGTAGAGTATAACTCCATTATGGATAAGATTTTATTTTGATAAATCACACAGTGTAGTGTTGTACAGTAGTATTAACTGATTTATTCAGATTTGCAAATAAATGTGGTGAGTATACATTACTCAGCAGTGTTAAAGAGGTTGGATGAGTAAATGGTTGCATTCTTACTTTTCTGATGAGAAGCAGTACACTTTCTACGACGGGAAGTCCTCCAGTGTTTTAATTATTCCAGCCAGTGTTCCTTAATAGTGCTGATCTTTCTCCTTTTCTGTTTTCTTTCTTCTTACGTGACTAGTCTCATTTTGATGAAGCCGATTTTGTTAAGTACGCCGATGACCTGACTGCTTTCATGCCGACTACTTCTCAGTCAGACTGTTCTAAAGCGAATAACGTTCCATCATAAGTTATTCAGCGGCCATTATCAGCTGGTCTTCAGCAAAATCTATTTAATTGTTAGGTTGTTGATTTCACTTTCAGACACAAGCGTGATTTGGAAGAGCTGGTCAACTGCCATGATTCTATTATCGTTGAAGGCACTGAAGTTGAAACTAGGTCGAATGTTAAATACCTTGGATTGTGTATTTCCTCTCATCTTCCCAAGCCTTCACACATCATGGTAGTGACTAGAAAGACTGTGCATTTAACGTTCTACCTGCAGAAGTCAAGACATTCCGGCATCACTCGGTCTCGAATTTTACAATTTGTTAATTCTTGTATTTCACCTATTCGTCTTCATTTCTCCAGTCTAATCTTTCCCCGGCTCCTTAACAAAGACTTTGTTGCACTGCGAAGCGTACTAAAAGCTGTCAGCGATTGAGTGGGTTGTCAGTAAACCAACTCGTAAGTACTTTTGTAGACAGACACTTGAACTGATGAAATAAATTTACGAATATTATCTTGTCCGACTCTGAGCCTCCTCCTCTATACACACAACCCTCCACATCCATCGCATCAGGCAGAACTAGAGGTCGCTACAAAAGAATTATGCCTCGACGACTAAGCATAAGAAATCTATGAAGCCTTATTTTGTAAACATTTCATGTTGTGAGAAACGTGTAGGACATAACACTACTAATTTACTGAGAAACACTAAGTAGGTTGCCTTAAAATTCTTCCTTTCATCAATTAACTGTTGTTAATATTCTCACAGAAACTTTAGTTTAATATTCATATTCTTATTAGACAGTATTACCAGTGTAGATGCCCAGTTATTTATTTCTCCCCCCCCTGTCATGTAGTGTGTAATGTAATCAGAAAATTAGATGCCATATTGTATTACAAGCTGAAGAATCCACATTGTATCAGAAATGCTGTTTTCTAATACAACCATTATTCTAAAAAAGTGGTTACTGGACAAAGAATATTCACATTTTTGATTACCTGATCTCCACCAGGTTCTACAGTCACATATCCATCCATAATAGTGAATGGACTAGTGTTATTTACAACAACATTAATGTTGTTTGAATAACATCGAATCAATAATAATAATTACAATGGATTACAGTTCGATAGCATCAACTTAAAAATACACTGAATATTAGCCGAAGAAACTAGGAAAATAATAATACAAACTCATCAATTTATAGTCTCCACTGAAGGCCAGCCAAGGCAGTAGTATTGGCTGCACTTTCTTCTTTTGCATACAAAGAACCGGTTGTTTCACGTGAATCACAATAGCCTCTGGTGTTCGAAGTATGCGGTACCTTAATGATTCCGGCAATTTATTTGGCACTCGGTAGATGATTGAGAAGGATTCTTCAATGCTAGCTTTGTGGCCGGTTGGTTTTGACCAGGTGGTCTAATATCGAAATGCTGACGCTTATTGCTAAACCTCTATTTAGCCACACAGGTAGATGTTCCCGAAGAAGCACGAAAATTCAATTTCCTAGAACAACGTCCATTAAAACTCGCTCCACCACAAGCGCAGTTGAATTAGTAGATAAAATTAGAAGTGGCTAGTCTAGGTACTTCATCTTTCAATGGAGGAATTGCCACCAGTTGAGTAGAAAATATGACTTGTAGTTTACCAGCATTAAAAGTTCTTTGAATAGATTTTCTTAACTTGTTAGTAATTATTTCACTAGGTGCGTCACCCGAGAATTGCAGTCTTATATATATAGAGGTTTCTTATTTTTTTTATTATTGCCTGAAACCACACGGTATTTTAGGTAAAAGTATGGAATTTTCAGGATGTAATATCGGTAGCCCAAATTTTGCAGACCGAATATTGATATAGGGCGTGCATCGGCAGGGGATCGAACCAAGGACCATGTGCATGGCAGACGAGAGTCCTAACCGTTGGAGAATAATCGTTTTCTATTTTTTGATCATGCGTTTCTTGAACTTTTCTGGATAACTATTTTCAGTTAGGGTGTCATACGCAATCCTTAGTTTATTTTCAATCACCTCTTCTGAGCACATAGATCTAACTTTTTGGCTGAGTGTTTACTAAATTTCTTTTATACTAGTGAGGAACGAAGACATGAAAATGTGTATATTTTGCTCTCCGTGTGCTCGTCCTATGCAAATTTTTCTTTATACTACCATCTGGTTTTCTTGTGAGAAGGACATCTAGGAAGGCAATCAATTCCATTTTGGGATTCCTCTTTGCAAGTGAATTTCGTAGCAGAATGTACTTCATTGAATTGAGTCATCAATGCGTTCCTATCCGAATCATTATCACAAAGAATAATGGTGTCACCTATATAATACCTGCAATAAAATGAGAATATTCTGATGGGGTGGTTGTTCAAAGGTCCATTTTGTAGTTTACTTAGAAAGAAAAATGCCCAAATGGGACGCAGTTGATACTAATGATTCGATGTTATTTAAACAACATTAATGTTGTTGTTAATAACACTAATTCATTCACTCACTATTATGGGTGGATATATAACTGTAGAACCTAATGATGATGGGCAGGTTATCGAAAAGAATATTCTTTTGAAAATAATTTTAATGGGCACTTTTAATCAGTTAACACAATTATTATTATTACTATTATTATTGTAACTATCCCAACAAGAATTTCAACACTTTCGTAGATTTCAGAGGGTAGTAACTGATGTGATAAGACAAAGTGAAATCAATGAAGGTTGCTCTCCATAGTGTTAACTTACAGATCTCGCATTTTTCTGCACCTGTGTTTTACAATGAAATACAATTTTGATTTCATTTAAAAGGCGAGACAATAAAGTAAAATTAATAAACGGATTCTTATAAATGTAAAATTTTGGAAACGCTTCACTTTCAAAGTTGAGCGACAACCCAAACTTCGTTCCGTTTCCTGCTGATAGTTATGCTCAACCAGTGGACAGAGTACATTTGGGTAAGTACTATATGCCACCACGTGATTAAAAGCTACTCCAGGAAGAGAAGAACCTCCTGAGACACAGCAAAATGGTATTGAATACAATTACGGATAATAAATACACCACTGCAATTACATTTACGAGATAATATACAAGAAGGAGGTGGAGACTCCTTGGAATGATAGTATGCATTTGCAATGTTTAATGGTAACTATATTGGTCTAAGCATGGAAACTATGATGTTTTCGATGAAAATATCGCTTATTTCAAGCATTGGTGTTGTTGTTGTGTTTTTCTCACCGAATCAACCAGAATTGAGGCAAGCGACGAATATGAGAAAAAAGCAAGTTTTAGCTTTAATAAAGGCCTAGATAGTTAAGATCAAATAGACTATAGCAGTGTGTAAATAAAAAGATTATCGTGGGGTAGATAAATAATAATTCAGCGAGAGGTGAATTCAAGGACCTGGAAGATTAGAACCCGTAGGACAAGCTGACCTGTAAGATATCTCACGAATTTCTGTAGGGATCATGGGGTAGCATCTTGACAAGGAGCTAAACAGGCTTGTAGATGGTAGGAGCGAAATCATTTTTTCATATATATCACACACAGAGTGAAACAGTATTATTTACTGGATGACAGTTTCAAACACAGTTTATTACTGTTCATAATCACATCAACCAATTATAATTACACAACTTCAAAACTTGAGTTTTATTGTTTTCTTTATTCTTTCCTATTTGTCGTAGTAGGGGTAGTAGAATTTTCCAGATGTCTCGGACAGACATCAGTAACGTCAGAAATGTCATCCAGCAAATAATACTATTTTACTATGTGATATATACATGTAATAAACAAATTAATATTGAATTATAAAGCAAGATAAATCAAAACCCCACAATAAAACATCTTTATTCTTACAAAAGCCGTCTGTAAAACGAAAACAAATAGATAAATGTTTTAGCTGATTTCAAGCGAGTTAGATACTTGGTAATTCTCGTCAAAAAAGTGTCAGTCTGAAGATTAACTTTAGGCATTCTCATCCTCCGCTCATCAGTGTCAGTTAAGGAAGTATATTCACAGTTATGTCAGTCAAGGTAGGAGTTATCTTCACATATGATGAAACTATCATCCATGTATCTTTGGTACAAATGGAAACTATCAATAGTAGGCGGTAATTATACTGTTCTCTAAACCTGCCAAGAAACAGTCTGCAAGTAAAGGATCCAATCAATGGTGACCACATTGCCACTCTATCTCTTTGTCTATAAATCGTGTTGTTGAACTTGAATTGGACATTAAGAGTGCACCTCCATAGTAGTTCCTTTAAGCAGTGGATAGGAACACACATTGAGGATAATAATGTAGACGTGTGTGTTCCTACCCACTGCTTAAAGGAACTACTATTGAGGTGCACTCTAAATGTTCAATTCAAGTTCAACCACACGATTTATAGACAAAGAGATAAAGTGGCAATGTGGTCATCATTGGGTCCTTTACTTGCAGACTACTTCTTGGCAAGTTTGGAGAATAGTATTTCACGGCCTACTATTGATGATTTCCATTTGTACCAAAGATACATGGATGATACTTTCATCATATGTGACGACAATACCGACATCGAATTAATAACTAAGGAGTTCAACAGCTGCCATCATGGCATCCAGTTCACGTCAGAATCAGAGATTAACTCGGAATTCTATCTCTTGGATGTTTTGCTAAAACGTAGGAGTTGTCTGTCAACGCATTAACTACCACTTGATTAACTCTTTAGTCTATTCTGAATAAACTGCATAGGCAAAAATTGCAATGGAGTGCAGAATAATTTTGTATGCCTTCTTTTTAATGCAAATCTGGTAGATAGATGTATAGCTACATTACTTTCTGTCATATAGGATCATATCATCCCATAAGAGATAAGTTTCATCTCAATAGCCCTGCGTCATAGTTCCATGCCACAAGTTTGTTTCGTAGAAAACAAAATGCGAATTTTCTGTAGGTTTAGAGGTGAAAAACAATATTTTCAGGAATTCTCTACTTAAATCCTCTAAGCATCATTAGCAGCGTACACAGCATTGAAAAGTAGTTAAATCTCTACATCAACTTTATCGGCGACTTTGAAAAAAAAATTCAAAAGCATCGATTGTGAAGTAATTTGGAAACCAATTCAACACTATGGAGTGCGTCAAACTTTTATCAACTTTACTCAGTAGCTGTATGACAATTTCACATGTCAAGTGACCCACAACAGAAAACTCGGAAAAGACTCTGAAGCAAAGACGCCAGTAAGAGAAGACCACCTGTCTGCTATCACTAGAGATATTCCTCATTGTTGTGAACTAGATTATACAGGAAGGATATCTGTTGGATCGACTAGAAGAATTCAGAAGATATGCACTTCGTGGACGCTTTATGCATTGTGTCATACAAACTTGAAGTCATACGGGGGATAACCAGCTGGTTGCATAAAAAACAGTAAACACAGGACTTGAAGTGAACATATAGAACACGAAGGTGGTGAAGAGAACCAAACAGCTAACAAAGCAACCAGTCAACAATAGTAGGCACCAATCAATATCAACGAGAGAAATTTGAAAGGAGTTATCTTCTTCGCTCATCTAGGCAGTAGCCCTCCATCTATAAGGGCGGATGGCACTGATAAGGATGTCAAAACCAGAATGGAAAATGTATGACAGACAGACCTTCATCACTCTGGAATCATCCACTCTGAGCGTCACGAAGAGAATGTCTAACAGCCGTCTGGTTACCTTTACCAGTAAGTGTCCTATTCGCTGATTACATACTAAAATTCAGGTGGATTTTTTTTTCCTTCACGTTCACTAGTGGAACATAGGGCTTCTAGCTAGCGGCTTGAAGTTTCTGGAGCAGTGTTTATTTACAGGATTGGGTTGCTAGCCTCACGCCCAACCTTTCCTCTTCACCAGCATTATTTCTGGCTTAGCGAGGTAGAGGAGTGAGCCGGCCGGGGATCGAACCCCGGACCATGTGCATGGTCAGCGAGCGTCCTAACCGCTATGCTACCGACGCACACATACCAAAATTCAGGTGGATGGCTTGTCAGAAAGAATTATGAAAAATCGACCAACCTCGTTCACTTAAGAAAACCTTCTTTGCAGCTGAACTACGATTAAAATTCTCCACAAAACCTATGGTTCGAATGAACGTGAGGGATAAGCTACCACTGTTGGCCTCATCAGTGTGTATCTACCGATTCAACCGCTCGTGTGAAGCCAGGTATATCGGCAGTACCCAGTTTTCGCTTTCCAAACATATTACCGAACACTTACAGGATGGTTTTTTTACAAAGGAGAAAATCGATGCCACCGCAGCTCTATCTTAGAACATCTGATAGACCCCGGACACTAAGCTACACCCCAAACAAAATTCAAAGTCGTCTACAGATAACAAAGCAGTCTTCCTAAAAGTATACGAATCAAACTTCTTTAAACTGCAGAAGCAATGGCGATTCACTTGCTAAGTCCTGAACTCTGCATACAAAAGAAGTTCGTTCAATCACTACACTTGCAATGGACGTAATCTATTTTAACACTCGACAGGTAAATTCTATTTCTTTCTGTCTGTTTATTCGTATTATTTTGTCCTTTATATTGCAATATTTTACATTTTCAACTCTCATATTCTCTACCTCCACTCGATTTCATTTCTACACTGCATTACCACTGTTACTGACTTGATCAACGCTCAATTTCTAATCATTTATCCTATGTCATCCAATTTATTTGCTCAATTTTAGTCCTAATTTAAATAGCATTATTCTCTACCCCACCTCTGCTCAATCTCTACCTGTAATTGCCTCTGTTGCTATCCTAACCTAAGTTGAAACATTTTAGTCAAATATATTACGTCATCTAACTTACTAACTCAATCTTACTTTAGTTTCTGTATAATTAACCTTGTTTCTATATTAGATCATTCTTGTATTACCTGATTAATTGTCTAAACCTGACAAACCTCATGTACACACACACACGCAAATACTTGTATATAAATGCGATTGTATAGCTATGTGAATGAATTCACCGTCGAAAAGAGTCTCTTCGCTGAACGTTCTCTCTTTTTCATAATTATGAACAAGAAACTCTGGGAACGAAGGAATGAATAACTTATTACTCAATAAACAGTATCTGACTATTTGATAATACAAATCCACAAGTTTAAAATGACTTACCGTAAACTTCCCACTCTTTGGGTAAATTATGTTTAAAGTTTAGTAAAATATATATAAGTAGCATAATATGATTGTGAATGAAAAATATTCTGGAAATACGCCCATTCAAATACAAATATTGAAGTGAACATTTACCAGCGATAATTATTTGCATTCATGAAACTTATTAGCGTAATAAATTATTAAGAAAATTAATCATCCAAAAGAACCTTAATTAAAATTCAAAGAAGGACATAAGTGTCGATCTATTTTCATGTTCATAATCAACTTCTGTGTTTCGCTTTATCGTGATCAGGTCAATGTATAAATCTTTCTCCCCGTTTGTTGGTTTCCAAAGAAATTCTTATATCGTCTCCTTAATGATGGTGAATATCTATAGAAGTAATGTGTTAAACTGACATCAAGTCAGCTTTGTTGGTATTAGATGGTTGGAGGCCATTAGCCAAAGGAAGCCTTGCACCAACTAGGTAACGTGCTAATAAGCACTCATCAATCAGTCAGCAAGGCGTATATGCAACCTCGAAGGAACTCATGTCCCTTCGGAGATTCGAACCCGTGTCACCCAGTGCTGCAGTCAGAGACGTTATCACTGGATTATTCTTGCTGGCTGGCGACTGAGCTCCTGTAGGACTGTAATTGGTATTTTTGATTGGACACTGGTCAGTAACTAGTGTCATATATCTTGTCTTATCATTGGTAACGTTTTTGACTGCAGCCCTACTGGGTGACGCGGGGTTAAAATCTCAGAAGGGACATGAGTTTCTTCGAGGTTGCAGACACGCCTTACTGACTGATTGGTGAGTGCCAACTATCACGAAACCTAGTTGGTGCAAGGCTTCCTTTAGTCGATTGCCTTCAACCATCGAATGCCAACAATTCACAATGCACCGTGATGGCAAGCCACCTAGTGGCATGGTGGCCACATTGCCAACGTGACGAGTGATAGAATTCAGTCTGCATCAAACAAAGAACTAGACACGTCACACTAATTACTAGTGTCCAATTAAAAATACCAAGTCACCTTGTTGAACAGTCTTTGTAGTATATATTTTGAAAGATTCTAGATATTCAACACCATTACTAACTCACTATAAACCATTGTATCATAAAATTGTATTATTTTGTTGAAGGTAGATCCACTTACCAGCATATACGTAATCTGAAATTCAGTATTTTACAAACAGATGTTAATTATATTCTGTGCGGAAATATTCAATTCACATTTCAAACAACTTCATAAATTTTAAGAAAATAATTGAAATCTCTTTTCATCAACAGACGAAAAAATACTTTGATGCTTGAATTGACCAGACATTAACGTTACATTCATTGAACATTGGACGTTGAACTGGCAATCGATTGTGCATCTATCATACACCATAATTTGAATTCGGCGCCAGTGTATTTTCATGCTCGATAGCAATGAATACCAATACGGCTATAAGCCTTCTTAAAAATGTTATACAAAGTTTATGTCAACTTTATTTGTAATACTGCGTTATTTCTTAAGTTGATTAACCTTCCAGATAACTATAGGTTGTCATAAATAGAATAATTCATAGGATGGATAGAACTTGAAAAACGGTGTGCAATTATAAGATTAGTAGACAAATCGAATAAAATAAAAACGTTACGTAATATTGTGTGAAATTTAATAGCATAGAATTTAATGTTGTAAAAAGGCAATGACTTAGAATGACAAGTGAAACAAGTGAAATAATACCGAGGACAGTTCAAAATGAGGAGAGTAATAGTAACAGTTGACGTAATAAGGAAGAGAATACAAATTGAATAGACAAAATGAAAAAAATGAGAAATTGGTAGAGCTAAAATATGATTGGGGATTACCATACTTTAGCATAGGGGGGTTAAGACCATGAAAGTTGGAAGGTTTGAACGAACTTTTTCTGTACACGGAGCTCTGGCTTTTCTGTTTCGATAGCCAAAGATGGCTTCAGCAATACAGATGAGTCGGGTACGTAGGGATTTGGGTAGATTACTCTTTGCCTTGTAGATGACTTTAAAGCCGGAGGCTATAGAGATAGGGTGATCATTATCGACCAGATGTTCAATGATCACACTGGTTATTGCTCCACTTCCACCTATTCGTAGTCATGCAGGATAGTGTTCTTGCACTCTCCTGGACAAAAATCGTGTTGAACGACTGATATACGTAGCTCCACACGAGCAGGTGAATTGATAAACACACATATAGTTGGTCAACAGCGGGATCTTGTCCTTCATGTTTTTGAACAGTAATGGCCGACTAGTAAAGGATATTCTCAGAGATACAGCAGGGGATGTTCTTTTCAGATACTGTGTTATCCTTTGTTTCATGATATGTGTATTGTATATGTGTATTGAAATGACTAAAAATTTAAAATATTTTATATAAAGCAAAATACAAATAACTGAACAATTCAGATTCTTGAAATGTCCAATTCATTTCGTATTTCAAGTAGACTTTTGTTTAACTAAATCAATCCACATCTTGTCCCTGTAATCTAATAATACACTCTGATGATAAGAACTAAACGAAAGTTCTTGAATCACCATCTAGCTGTTGGATATTTCCATTGTACTACAACGTTTTACATGCTTTGGAATGCTCTAAACGAAAATTCCTTCAAATTGATTACTCATATCACCGAAATTATAACGAAACGATTAAACTATAGTGTACCTTGAACCATTAAATTTTTGTTTAAACGCATTCACACAATTTTGGCGCCACACCATTTTTTTGTTTTCCGACGTGACTGTTAACATGTGGTTCGCTGTTTGTTGTGCTATCTATCATTCAGCACACTCTTCAAGCTTACTACCCAGTCGAGGCATCAGATAAGTTGTGTAGCACCCTTATTTATAAAAAGTGACATTTCATTTCTGAAAAAATACAACTCCCTTTAAGACGCACTTCCAGTCCCAAGTTTTTTTACTTTGATTTCTTTAGTCAGTACTTACACGTTAGACGGAGTATACTGATAAGGTTATTAAATGGTGAAGTATTCGAGGTCTGTCTTAAGTATAACCAAACACTTACAATATTCCGCCCACAGGAGTCCAAGTCGCTCACTGTAGTAAAGTTTTCCTCTTAATAGACGTGAATATAAGAAGGGAATGAGCATCCTAGATCCTCTTTGTTGACTAATATCAACTAAAATAGCATCTCTCATACCTAATATAAACAGAAAATGAGGACTGATATTCAAAATAGTGTATTAAATAAAATCTTAAATGTAATTTATGATATTTATGAGAGAAAATAAAAAGGAATACGCATTCATTACCATAGGCCTGAAGAAAGAGAATGACAACCAGCGAGTTGAACATCATCATTCTTATTCGTTGTTCAAGTGCTTCCAGAAGAAAAGTGGGAGCAGTCTGAACTCTGTTTCCCTCTGATTTAAAACACGACTGTTTCTCGCCGTATATATATACCCTTTTCTAGTAAATATCACATGGTGAAAACGATCCGTCATGTGTTTTCCTTTGTTAGAAGTGGGGAACAAACTGAGACGAAGATAACTGATTACTTGGCTGATTTATCAGTTAACACGCCACTGTCATTTTAAAATTTTACTCATTCTAATTTATAATAGAACATCTGTATTTTTTGATCACTGTTCATTAGTAGTCATGTGAGGTGTTCAACTCTTATCAATCAAATCATTTGAGACTTTATGTGAAAATAATAATGACTAATTTTTAAAATCAAACGTGTATCGAACATTGAACAAAGCCAAATATTTGAATAGAAGGCGATATATCATCCAAGTACATACTATTCTTAGCCGGATTATTTCATTCGCATTTCTAATAATTTAATTGAGAAAATGTCATACACAGCGAGAATGCTTTAATTATTGAGCAAAAATGAAATATTTATTACAGTAGTCTATGTATTTATGTGCAGATAAATGAAGTTTCTATGGAAGCCATGGGCTCATGGTTTGAGTCTCGGTGGGGACAACATCACTCATTGTGGGAATGTAGTTACATCCGTTAAATGGCGAGTTCCTGGTAGGGACAAAATACTCATTTCCTGCCTAGCACGCGATCACCATCATTATCAATGTAGATAACGTTCTTATCAACTTCGAACTGTTGTCAATTTTGAGAATGATTAAAAGTCTGTGTGAACTTCGTTGTAACAAGTTATTCACTTACAACAGGGAAAAGAAGAGGGATGACACAGTTAACTAACATGTAATCTTAATAGGCAGTAATGCATCCACAGAGTTTTGTTTTAATATTATTATTTCAGTGAAATGCATGGTGATGAGTTTCAGATTCAGTGGGAACACGCATAAACATTGGGGTACACGAACATCCCTCCTGGACGATAAATGACCTCTATCTATTCCTGTAGGCCGTGTATCACCTGATGACTTAATCCTTATTATTTTTTCTTTATTCTTGTTAGCGTCCTAATTTAAATGATTATGATTGTGGTTGTGTGACTGTGTTGACAGTGTGTAGTTTTGGATTGTTCTTGTTTTGAATGAAGTCAAGACTTTCCATATTAGTTTGATTATTAGATATATCACACAATGGAAGAAACAGTATTGCTATTTACTGGGTGACAAGGTTTCGAACTAAATTTATCGTGGTTCATAATTATATCAATTATGATCACACGACTTCGAAACCTGAGTTTTATAGTTTTCTTTATCCTCTCCTATTTGTCGTAGTAGGGGTAGTAGAATTTTCCAGATATCCAAATGGACAGGTGTTGAATCATTCCTATTACACAGTGTGTACAGTCTATTTTAGGGAACACAGTGACACATCTCTGTAACTGACTACAGCTGTACCACACTGACCAAATATACAGTTTAATTATAGGAGAATTTGAATAAATATGTATTTCCACTAATTTGCCTGACCAGTATACTATACCTCCTGTTAAGGTGATCTTCAATATTTGTACCTCATCTTCGTTTGTTTCTAATCTTAAGGCTTCAGTTTTAATTACGTGTGCTGTTAGATTTTACCAATTAGTTATACGTTGTTGTTTCTTTTGTTATTGTGATATTTTTTAGTCTGAATAAATTCAAGGTTACATTGTGGAATGACAGTTTGATGTCGGTCGGCAATACTGAGGAAAACGTGTTTTCGTGTAGGCAGAGCTTTTGATCTCACTTTGCTGACAGTATGCCGTCTCACTGTCTGTTATTCGGTGTTAACACAGTAGCCAAAATAATATTCTCTTGCATTCCATATCGCCATCAAAGTCTCAATCATCGTCATCCTCAATGTTTTCGTGATTCGAGGAAAGAATTCGTTTGATCCAGACAATTTTGTTTTCGTAGTGTTATACATTCAAATGACACTCACAGTCTTGTGACTGCGTGAGACGCTTTGTTAAAATATGAAAGCAAAATAAAATACGTCTGCTTTATCTCATTTAACATATAAGGTAAATACACCTCCATCTTTCTGTAATATATTGACAATAAATTTTTATGCAGACATGATATATCTTATTTTAGAAGGTCTGTGATAGGGAGAGAATTCCTTGTCATCTCATTTATTTATTCCACTCTTTGTATGGGTGAGTTACAATGATGAATTAGTTGTTTTCCTCAAGTAAAAAATCAATTTTGGAAGTCAACATTCATCATTAGATCAGCGGATTCCTTTCATGAGACAAACAGTGATAATTTATACACGTACAGTGTAAAACGTTTTCATGAATTCATTATAATAAGTGAAAGCCTAAAATAGTTGGAGGGAACAATTTTGATTTCAATAAATACCTCCTTCCTTAGACTCTATAATTATAAATCGATTAATTTTTTCATGCAATAGCCAGCAAGCCAGTAGAAGACAAATTAGAATCATATCAGAATTGTGTACTGTGGAACAAGTATAAGATGGGATGCGATAGTTGTTGTTATTCACAGATTAAACCACGGATTGATAACATTTAATGAAACAGGGAGTACTGGACAGCTTTTTCGTCAGCCTAATTAAGGACCTATAGGCAGTATGCACCCACCACAAGGGTTCAAACCCGCGACCTTCAAATTACAAGGCAAGCTCGTATCCCATTCAAGCACATCCATTATGACCTGATTCAATGACACATGAATTCTAACTTCTACCAGTTTGTGATTTCAAAGTAACCACCAATCAGTACCACTGGTGGGAAATCCATCCTCACTTCGGACTGGATGGACTACACTGGTCACAACTTCATCCTGAAACTCCAGGCAACTTTTTCTTGTAGCCAGTAACTAGCGAACATTGAAATCTAGTTGGTGCATACCGCCGATGAGTCCCAAACGAGGATGAAATCGCTGTCCAGTATTCCCTGGTTTTTATTGGTTCTCTAACTGATATCACTCCGTGGTTTTACTCGAAAAAAAGAATACCTACGATTGAAAGTGCACTGTGATATTGAGCCATCTAGAATGGTGACCACATTTCAAACGTGACTAATAAAATTCAGTCTGCACCAAAGAAAGAACTAGACGCACAACACTGGTTGCTAGTGTCCAATCAAAGTATTCAGTACAGTCCAACAGGAAGTCAGTCACGGGCCAGCCCGAATAGCTCTGTGGTAGCGTCTCTCATTGCAGCATTGGGTGACCTGGGTTCGAATCTCAGAAGGGACATGTTGCAGATACGCTTTGCTGACGAGCACCAGCTAGCATGGTACCTAGTTGGTTCAAGGATTCCTATCGATTGCCTCCAACCATCTAATATCAAGAATCTCGAACAATCTGATTCTGGAAAGTTGTCAGTTAGTGCTTTCTATTTTCATTTAGAATATGCATGGTCAATGAGAACACGAGATGAAACAATTTAGTGATAGTCAACAAAATTACATGTTTCTAGTGTGAGTGTAATCAATGGTGTGTGAAACAATATGAATACTAAAGAAAAATAAACGAACAAATGGGGTAGACTTGATGTATGTTCAAGGGTGACTAATAACAATAATAATGCTCATTGTGGAATAATAATGATATGGTGTAAACATAAAGGTACTATTTGTGAACGATCATCAAACAATATCACATAATAATGCGTTTAGTGAAGTGAAATAAACAGGATTGTTTAAACATAATAACATGTCAGGAAAAAGCATTACATAAACCTAAGGTGATAGAAATCATAAGAAAGGTCATAAAGTCTTGGAAGTTTACAAATGAACGTTTGTCAATAAAACGAAGGAAAGAAGATGAAAAATCGCGATGTGAATTTAAAGTACCAATGTTTATGGAGGATTTGTTGAACACCAAGGTGAATACAGTGGTTTGACATACTTTTACTGTGTAGAATGACCTGTTCATCTGGGATTGATTGCTATCTCTTCGGTTACTGAAAGAGGGCGAAGTCGATCACTTCTAGAAAGATTATCAGGAGCACTGTAGATAATTAAGAATGCACGCCTTATCTGGTTTTATTGTGTGTCCAGTATCTTACAAGCGGGCTAAGACTGCACTATTTACGCATTTGGTTACACCTTTACTCGACTTTTCATAACTTCGTCAGTGTAGTCAATAAATAAATCCTTCAAATTCTGAGGAAGTTCATCAATTGAATAAAATCTTTAAGCAATATTTCTCTCTTATAAGAATAAAACTTGTGCACTGTGTTGTAGAATGGAATATTTCTCTCTAGTTTCGATATTTTTGTTTCAAGGAATTCGATTGGATGAACAGCAGGTCACCTCGTAAATAAGAAATTCATAATATTAACCTAAGGACTAGATACAGGAATGACTGAAGCTAATCGTCCAACTGACTGCGACCCATCCAGTTTTAACCTTTCCTCTGTATGCCTAGAAAAAACACAACCTGAATCTTTGTCTCTCGGTTTAAAATCCTGTAACAGGAGTGGTCAGGTTAAAGACCGCGTAGATACTGATGTTCAATTTGAAAACGTATTTTCTCAGATAAACGACTTAGTTCCCTCGTCCAAGCATGAAACTAAAGTGATTTAAATGTGTCCTAATCGATTCCTGCCACCAGTTTAAGTAAAACAAACATCCTGTCATATATGTGTATATATATAAGACAGCTGAATTCAAATGACACAGAAACGAGATGATAAGCGACAAGGAATACTGTCAAACAGCTAATGAACCAATAACCTGTTATCCGACCAATTATACCCAGGGAAAGAAAAACAGAATCGATAAACACTGGTGAGGTCGTTCACTGACACCGATCACACACCATTCCATCCCACGACTTGAATCCATCCAAGTGAGAAGCGATGGGTTGGTTGTCCAACACAAGGTGACCTGGAAAAGATCACATGAAGAGGAAGTGAAAGATTCTGAGTAGTCATGGAGCCAGCTGAGAACGATGACGGGGAACAGAATACACTGGAGATGTACTTCATTCTTTTTTGGATGCGTCAATTTTATCTCTTCTCTACTACTAATCAAACATTAAAGCATGTTATTAT